AGCTGACGTATGTAGTGATAACGCACGTCAATGTGTTTCGTTCTGTGACTGACTATCGGATTCTGTGCGCTCAGGATAGCTCCCCTATTATCAGCCATAAGATATGCACTCCCAAACCGAACACCAAAAAGAGGTATGCCACGCAAAAATGACGCCAGATATACGAGGGCAGTGGCACATTCACTCATCTGTACGTATTCAGCCTCCGTTGACGAAAGCGTCACCAGTGGCTGAGTCTTCGCACTCCAATACACAGGTCCACCACACACAAACACCACATGACCACCACTAGACTTGCGACCCACACAATCAGCCCAAGACGAGTCAGAGAAGGCAGTCAGATCAATCCGACCTTCCTTGCCTGGCTCAGCCTTGAACTCGATCCCCTTGTCTTTTGTCCCACTCAGATAGCGAAGAACCCTCTTTGTTGCCTGCCAATGCCCAAAACCGGGCTCATGAGCATATCGTGCAAGCTCCTTGACCACATAGGCGATGTCCGGGCGGCACGTGACCGAGCAGAACATCAATGCGCCAACGAGTTGCCGATAGGGAACCTTCTTCATCTTCGTCTTCTCTTCGTCCGTCTTCGGTGACATCTCAGAGGTCAGTTGGATACCGGACGCACAAGGGAAATCCACTGGGTTCGCATTCTCCATGCTGAATCTCTTGAGCATCTTGTCGATGTACTGTGGCTGTGTGATCTGCAGGGTCCTTTCTTGACGATCGCGGATGATCTTGAGGCCGAGAAAGATGTCAACCTCGCCCAGGTCCTTCGTCGCAAACACGCTCGACAGCTGCTGCTTGAACCAGGTGACCCCCTCTTGTTCGCTGACGATGAGAATGTCGTCGACGAACACCACAAGAAGGATGTTGTTGTCCTTATGCAGGTACACACAGGGCTCCTGAGGGTGGCGAACGAACCCTCTGTCGTATAGTTGGTTGTGGAGGGTGATGTTCCATGCGCGCGGGGCTTCCTTGAGGCCATACAATGCCTTCCGTAGACGAACAACATGGCCGGGCTTCTCATATCCAGGTGGGCACCGCATAAAGACAGGCTTGTCCAGCGGGGCGTTGAGAAATGCTGTGTTGATGTCCATCTGATGTATCTCCAGGTTAAGTTGATTCGCCAGGGCAAACGCTGATCGAACAATGTGGTAGGAGGGCGTAGGGGAAAACACGTCATCCACTTGGTTGCCGTCTTGTTCGAATCCTCTTGCGACGATGCGAGCCTTGTACTTGTCAGGCTTGAGGGCAAATACCCATCTGCATGAGATGATCTTGGTCGTTGCGGCGTTCACCGGCACGTACTCAAACACTCCCAGGTCTTCAATCGACTTCATCTCACGATCCATGGCTTCTTTCCATTGGTCTGCTGCTGCTGACTTGATGGCTTGGTTATAGGTCTTCGGTATGGTTGGCTGAAATAGCTGTGGAAGTGATGGGTCATCTGCGGTCTTGTCGTCTTCCGATGGGTCTTCTGTCATCTCGCCATCTTCATTCACAAAGAGCAGGTCAGGATGATCGAAGAAGTGGTCTTTATAGACGCGTCCAGGGATGCGTCGCTCATCCGTTGTTCTTGTCGTTCTTGTCTGTTGCTCATCAGTGTCTTCCTCCCCCTCTTGACCATTGCCATCCTCTTCAATGATCGTCATGTCATCTTGGGCATCATTTGTCTCCTGATGCTGGTGTGGTTCGTTGTTGTCGTCGTGTATGTCTTCGATTGCTGGTAGGGGCTCACTCACAGATGTCTCGGGTCGTTGTGGGTAGATGAGATCGATTGCTGGTGGTGCTCGTGGCTTCTTCTCTTGTCCAGGCAGTATCGCCTCGTCAAACACCACATCGCGTGACAGCACCAATTGCCGTGTGTGCGGCAGGTACACCAGATAGCCGTCCTTAGTCGTTGGGTCATACGCAAGTAAGATGCCGATCCGCGTGCGAGGGTCCATTTTACTAACCGTCTCTTTCCTCTGGTTGATGTATGCCTTGCAGCCGAAGGTGCGGATGTGGCCGACATCGGGTGGATAGCCGATGAAGAGCTCATGTGGTGTCTTCATTCCCTCGTTGGCTGCGGTTGGCGTGCGGTTCTTAATGTACGTCGCTGTGGGCGTCGCATAACACGGCGTGTGTGCGTGTGATGATGGTGAAATGACCTGTATGTACGATATGTCTGGTGGAACTCGCTCATGCAGACAGACAATCGACGAATTAGCAGCATACAGCCACACACAAATATATTTGTCCTATGTACAGCCATCCATCCAACCATATCCATGGCCAGCCACATGAACACGCAAAACACATGCACACACACAGAGAGATAACGGCCCAAAAGCTACCCCTTAGCTCCATCCAGCAATCAGACACACCATCTATCACGCCTCCCCTTCCCGCTGCTCATCCCTCTGCACACCATTCTCCTCCCCACCAGCACCCACTCCACCATCCCCCCCACCACCCGGCACCATTGCCGCCTCCGACTGCTCTGGCGACGGCATGGCGTTGTAGCCGCTAAGTATGCTCGCCCCCCGCACAGACAGCACAATGGAGAAGCCGATGATCAGCACCAGAGCCACGATGGCGCCGACAAGGTTGATGGTCTTCTGCTGCTCGGTGAAGTGTCTGGACGGGTATTGGGCGACAATCACTGCAGTGAGGCCAAGGAGAAGGTACATGGGGATGGACGAGCGGACGCAGTCCCAGCAGAAGCCGCATTGCGGGCAGCAAAGGATGGCCGCCAAGATCTGCACACACACATGCAATGATATGAATCGGGAGAATGAGCCTCGGGCAGGACGGCTTGTGCGTGTGTACGATGAGCGTCCAAGCCACCGTGGCGAACCACACAAAGGATCTGCGAACAGCATGGATGGATGGATGGATGCATCAACACATTACCGCGTGGAATGGGCGTGATGACAGGCGGCTTACATGATGAATGCTGGGACTTCCACGCTGTCGGCGGACGTATCGGTGTAGGAGAGGTCTCCTTGCATGAGTAAAGCAGCCGCCAGGGGCGTCAGCTGATAGAGCATCATCGTTGCCAGCATCAACAGGCCAAGCGTAAATACACATCCTGAGCTCCGCCCACCCTCTGGCCCTGCACCCACTGGTGCCTGAGTGAGCTCCCTGACGGAAGTGCATCTGGTGAAACGAACCGACTTTGGTCGACAAGATGCGATCATCTCATCAATCCATTCACTCATTCACAAAAGCGATGCGATGCAGTCAGTGAGTCTGACAAAAAAAGCAAGAGGGCCCTTCACCCACTCAGTCACGTCAGCCATTCAGATGCACTCAGTCCCCGTCCACTTCTCACACACTGCCCCACCGGCGTACGGCTACACGACGCCACTCGCCAACCAGCACTGCTCACCCCACCACCGTCCCCCTGTCGATGACGTCGGTCTCCAACTCGAATCGCCGCAGCAGACGGCGCCACAGAGGCTCCGAAATGGGGAAGCGGATAGTGAGTGGTGCAGGCGCATCAGCAGCAGAAGCCTCGGTCGTCCGCAGGAGGATGCCGTTAAACCCCACCACCAGATGGGCAGCGATGGTCTCCTTTTCGCGGCAGCCACTCACAATGACATCACGATAGTCCGTCACGTCACCACCATCCATATTGCCCCAGTCATAGCGCCAGTCGACATCGATGCCCAGATCCTCTGTGATGGCATCGGTGCTCAGCAGACGGCCGTAGTGAGGGTCGTCACGGCCGATGGGTGCAAAGAGCACCCTTTTGTGATCCACGCCCTCTCCATCCGACCAGCAGACGAGCATCGTCTGCAGCAGGAATGCCGAAAAGGAGGGGTAGAAGATCGCCCTGTCGGATGACAGGGTTGGTCCGCTTGTAGCCCTCAGCATATCGATGGCCGCCCGGCAGCTCACCCAACGACACCACACGAAATGTCACACCGCCAATCCGATAGGCCCCGCTGTCGTTGGCTTGCTGCAGCGCCAATCTGGTCCCTCCGCATGTCAGCTGCTGGCCGATGATGGCGTAGAGGGCCATGGCGAGTGGCAGCTGGTGGAAGGCCGTTGCTGTGGGGAGCGAGTCAGCCGACAGACAGAGAGGCCGCGTCGCATTGGCAGGGGTCAGCCGGTAGATGAATGCCATCCGAAGGAACCGCCCCATCGCCCGCCACTCCTCGCCACTGCCCCGCTCCAGCACATAGACCACCTTCAAGCCGGCCTCCACATCACCGCCAATGTCGAAGGCCAACACGTCCGCCACGCCGAGACGGCTGAGGGCCTTGTTGATGTGCTGCTGGACAGCGTTGAGCAGGGTGCTGTTGACGGTCTCCACAGTGTGGCCCAGCAGCTCCTGTTGCCGAGTGCGGGTGGCGATCTGCGAGCGGAGAGCGGCTCGTTTGGCATCGTCAGTCGCCATGGCCATGGCGGCCATCTTGCTGATGGGCAATGACAGGTCAAAGAGGTCGGCGGGCTGGAAGAGGGCAGGGCTGGGGGGACGGGACGAGGGCGCTGTGCCAGTGGGCTGCATCGTGACTGTCTTGAGGCCTCAACGAAGTGTGACAGGAGAGAGAAGGACGCACCGGCAAACCAACGCGAGCTGGCGAATGAGCTTGCAACCAACGCGAGCTGGCGAATGAGCTTGCATCTTTTCTCTCGGAGATCCGGTCTGTTAGGCGCATCATCGCATCATGGCCTCCGCCAGTGTGCATTCGAGCAAGCGATCTCCCAGCACCGCCGGCAGCGACAGTCCCAAGAGCACCGCAGCTCATCCCGTAGACGAGGACCCGCTGTACAAGGACGCATCTGGCGCATTCGACCTCTACTACAGCGGTATCTATGCCATCAGCAGCCGATATATCTGGCTGCTGATCGGTGCACTGTTGTTGCCTGTGTCTGTGTGCAGGGAAGCACGCCGAGTGCGAGTCGCTGCTGCGGCGCATCCAGCAGGCGCAGGGCACGGCAGCGGAGCTCGTCTATCGGCTCAAGGTCTCGCACAACCTGGAGCTCAACAAGTACCTGCAGGGTATGGAACCCCACACACCTCGCCACGCATCCACCCATCCGTACATCTGATCTGTCATTCGTTTGTGTGCAGGTGGGTGCTGTGATCCGGATGGCTTGTTGAGGACGTTGACGCAGCTGCATGAGCAGGGCCGGGTGGCCAAGCGGCACCGGGACGAGGCGGCCGCTGCTGACCATGACGATGTCGGTGCTGAACAGGTACGTCCGTGTGTGTGTGTGTGTCTGTGTGCGTGATCCGCCGTTGTGGCTGTGTTTGTGTGTGTTTGGATCGGTGGGTCAGGTGGACGAGGACCTCTCCGTGTTGGCGTACAACCGGGCGGTGCTGTCATACCAGCTGCGCAACTACGAGCAGGTACAGATGGATTCGTGTGGGTGGGTGTGCTGCAGAGCCATCCATGCGCCCATATGTGTGTGTGCAGGCTCGGTCGATCCTGGAGGATCTGTTCAAGCGCATCGAGCCCGTAGACGACTTCCTGGCCGTCAAGATCTGCCTACTCCTCATGGTCCATCCATCCATCCATCGGCCCACACACACACATACACAGACACAGACACAGACACAGACACACGCCTCTGTACCTTTGTGTGAATGTGTGCAGGAGCTGTATTTGACGATTCGTGAGCCTGAGAGGGCAGCGGACGTGCTGGCGTACTTCGAGAAACCCCAGGCATTCCCCACCCTGTGGAAAACGCCTGAAAGTACGGATGGATGGATGGATGAGTGCGGCCATGCAGGCAGGCAGGCAGGCAGGCACTGATGGACACCATGTGTGTGTGATGGCTGTGCTGTGGGCAGACAAGGATGCCAACGGGCTGCCTCCGTCGACTTCTCCCGACCAACCTGCACCAGACGCACACGCCGGTAGATACATACCAGCACACACACATATACACACACACACACACATGTACCTCTGCAAAGGGGCGTACATATCATTGCTGTGTGGGCAGATGCCGCGCCGGAGCATGCGCAGGCGGCGAAGGACGACCAGCAGCAGCAGCAATCGCAGCAGCAACAGCAGCAGCAACAGCAGCAGCAGCCATCACAGCAGCAAGGCGAAGAGTCGGCTGAGGGGCAGCAGGTGGGTGCGTCTGCAAGCGCCATCATGTGTCCCTCTCTCGCCATGCCCATCTTGTCTATGTATGTGTTCATTCATATAGGGAGCGGAGAGGCAGCTGCTGCCGGCGCTGGTGCTGGGCTCCTATCTGCCTTAGTAAGCGCCGGACGCCCAACATGTGTATCCACAAATACGTGCCTGCGTGTGTGTACGTGTCTGCCTGCTTTTTGCAGCCACGGCCGCTCGCCAGAGACCATATCAGCGTCGGAATTTAAGGTAAGCAAGTCCATGCAGTCGCCCACAAAGCGTGCAGTGAACGGTGCTTGTGTGTGCGCAGTTCTTCACGCAGCTGTACCGTGCCAAGATCGCCGTCATGCAGAGGAACCTCAAGGGCGCCAAGAAGGTGCGTTAGTGTGTGGTAGTGTCGTGTGGAGCGTGTGTGTGCACACCAAAGTCAAAAGAAAGGGTCAATTGACGTGCGTGTGTGATGCACATCACACGTGTTGGCTTCGTGTGTGTCCGTGGACCAACAGGAGCTCAAGACGGTGCTCGAGACGTTCCAGCACCAGCTGCGGTCCGCACCCATCCTGACGGCATCGCCACACACAATCGGTCAACACACACACTCACCACACACAAAAACACACACACACACATCGGCCGACACACACAAGCGCATCCATCCATCCATCCGTGTGTGTGTGTGCTGTGTGTGTGCAGCCACGGACGCCTCGCAGCCGTCATCGGGCGGCTCTCCAGGGCCATCTGGTACGTCCCTCTCTGTGCATCTTGGAACCCTCCACGAGTGACTCTGTCTGTGTGTGTGTAACCAGAGAAGAGCGGTCTGCAGCGCTTCACGCGGTGGATTGGCCTGGGGGGCGGCAGTGCAGGTCAGCACACATACCCATACCGTTGTCTAGACGTACAGGGGTGTGTGTGTGTGTGTGTTCAGGGAAGGACACTTCGTCCCTGCCAGCGAGCGGCAGCAACCTCGGCGAGACGGCCCTGCAGAACGCCGTGCTGAACCAACACAACTCTATGGCGCTGATGCTCAAGGCAAACCTTGTCGGTGCACCCCACACACATACCACAGACCACAGACGAGCGTGTCTTGATGTGTGTGTGTGCAGGAGTATTTCCGTCTCAACTTCCGCAAGAGCACCAAGCTGCTGACCTGCTGGTACGTTGTGTGAGGGAGGGAGGGAGGGAGGGAGGCACACAGATCAGACCCCTCTGCAGAATCTGCCGCACCTGTGTGTGTGTTGTGTGTGCCATGCAGCCAATTCAACTTCGCCGCGGCATCGTCGACTCCACTCAACTACAAGTAAGAAACACAAACCCATCAAAGGACGTGTGTGTGCTGTGTGCACCCTAATGGGCGGCCCTCTCTCTCTCTCTCTCTGTGTGTGTGTGTGTGTGTGTGCTATAGGTACACGTATGACGACATCGACGACGAGGGCCATCCCCACAGCCACCCGCACCAGCAGCCACACGAGCCACGGGGGCGGGGCGACCATGGCGGCGTCTCACACCAACAACCTGACCTTAGGTAAACACACACACACACACACACAGAGGGAGAAAGAGAGGTGTTTCTGTGTGTCTGTGTGTGTGTGTGTGTGTGTGCAGTTCTGATTTCCACCCTGCTATGGACCCGGCGTGTGCGACCGTCTTCTACAATAACGTCCGTGTGTCCGTGTTACACTAAGGCGTCTGTGTGTGTGGTGTCAAAGCACCAACCGGTCTGTGTGTGTGTGTCTTTGTCTGTGCCTGCCCTTTGCAGCTGGGGTGCATCCACTTCCTGATGCGCAAGCCGCACCTGGCCTGCTTCTATTTCAACAAGGCCATGCAGGCCAACGTGAGGGCGCGGAACGAACTGCCAGCCATGCTGCACACAGGCGTCGGTACGCAGCCACCCCCTTTCCCCCCCTCCCTCCACACACACACGTGTGTCTCTCTCTATGTGGTGTTATGTGCAGGCAAGCCGCTTCCCGGCGTCGTGGCGTCGAGATATGTGCTCGACCGGGGCTCGGAGGTGCGTATGCGTGTGTGTGTGTGTGTGTAGGTCGTCGGCAGACACACACGGACGGATCTGTACGTGTCTGTCTGCCTGTCTGTGTGTCTGCTTGTACGCAGGTGTCGCTCAACGCGGGTCTGCAGCTGCTGCTGACAGGGTCGCCGCTGGAGGCACTCATCGCACTGCAGGCAGCCAGCGAGATCTTCCCAAACAACGCTAAGGTGCCTGCCCACAAATCGACCACTCACACGCATCCATTCATCAATCCATCCGCTGTGCGTATGTGTGAGAGTGCAGGTGTGGCTGCGTATGGGTGAGTGCTGCGTGGCGCTCTACCTCCAGTGGGCACGCAAGCAGCGAGACCCCGCCATCGCACCCATGCCAGTACATACACACACACACACACACACACAGAGAGAGAGAGAGAGAGAGAATGAGAATATACACACCCGTCAATGTGTGTGATTGTGTGGATGTGTGTGTGCTCAGAGCCTCTGTGGCACCCGGGCGGTGTCCTTCCTGCAGCCGGCCGAGAACGACGACCAGCAGCTGGCCACTGACGTCATACGTACGCCCATACAAGTGGAGGTATCCACCCTGAGTGTGTGCACGCCTGTGTGTGTGTCATTATTCAGGGTCCCCTGTGTTCTATCGGCGTCTGCTGCTCTCCGTGCAGAAGTACCCTGCTGCTCGTAAGTGCTTTCACACGTCCATCCATCCATCCATCCACACGTGTGTGTGTGTGCGTGTGTGTCAGCGAGCATGCTGGCCGGCACTCTGGCGAAACGAGGCAAGCGCCGCACACACACACACACACGCACACACGCACACACATGCATCTCACCGTGTGTGTGTCCCTGACTGGCTCACAGCGGCCGACTCGCCCAGCCCGACAACGGAGGACAGCTCTGCCGACACAGATGCAGCCACGTACGCAGACACACACACACGTCGCACAGCATGCCAATCCACCTCTGTGTTGGGTCGGCCGATTCAGAGAGGAGGCTTCCGGCCGGCAGCTGGCGCAGATTCTCGCCAATGACGGCAGCAAAGGTGACTGAGACGGTGACAGACAGACACCACCTGGTGGTGCGTGTGGTGAATGGATGGATGGATGGATGGGTGCAGCATTGCGTTACGCCGAGACGTGTTTCCGGACGGCCCTGCTGCTCGTGCAGCCGCACAAGGACAAACACGCCACTGGGTGAGTGGGTGCGCCGCCGCACAAGAACGCTCTGCCTATCTGTCTGTCCGTCTGTGTGGTGTGTCTGTCTGTGCAGTGAGTCTGCGTGGCTGGAGGACGCGTGTGACGTCAAGCTGGCCTACGTCTGTCTCGGAAGGTCTGTAGTGGGTGGGTCAAGTATACTCACCAATACATTGAGAAGGGCCCCACACACCTGTGTGTGTGTTTGAGCACTGTGTGCAGGCGAGATTGGCGTGGGGCGTTGTGGTGGGCGAGCAAGCTGCTGGCACGGGTCAGTGGCGATAAGGGCCGCATACACACACACATACGCAGAGACAGAAACACGTGTGTGTGTCCATGTGGGTGTGTGTGTGTGTGCAGAACGGAGTGCCTGTTCGTTGTGCGGGCGCTTCACTGCGGCCTGAAGGCAAGCATTTTTCGCACAGCACACGTGTGCGCGGGAGTGGAGCATCTTGTGTCTGTCTGTCTGTGTATTTCTGTGTGCAGATTCTGCTCCACCGACAATCGCATCGAGTGTGGCATGGTACGTGGGCCACACGGGCTCATGCACTCGTGTGTGTGTGGAGGGATGGATGGATGGATGGCCCGATGGGCTGATGTGTGCAGCCTGTATCTGTGTCGGCTGTACGCCGCCGAGGCCCTGTGCCATCTCAACAACGTCGCAGAGGCCGTCAACGTCCTCAAACCACTGCAGGCACCGCCTCACGCCCATCCACACACGCCCACACAGAGAGAGCACGTGTGAATGGACCTCTTTGGTTGGTGCGTGTGTGCGTGTGTGCAGGATGGTGGGCTGCAGGCGGCCGTCCGCGGCCAGAGCGCCCAGTGGGAAGCCAGCTCCGCACAGGAAGGTACCCACTCTCTCTCTCTCTCTCTCTGTATGCGCACGGCACACACGGGCGGATGTTTGTGTGTGCAGGGAAGGAGAAGCCTCTGGGTCTGTCCCTCGGCGGCTCGGCGCCGGCAGACGACACTCTCGAGATGACCGCACCGGCACACGCAAAGGTCCGTCGTTTCCCGTGCACACCGATGCATCCCCGCGGGAATGTGTGGACGTCTGTGTGTGTGTGTGTGTGTTGGGGGTGTAGAGTCTGTTGGTGGCGTCGTTCCCCCCTGCGACGAGCTGCATGTCGCTCAAGGAGGCCCAGGCCACACTCAACACAGACCTCTGCCATCTCGCATGCAGACAGGTGTCTACACACCTGATTGTGCATCTGTGTGTATACCTGTGTATGCGTGTGTGTGTGTGTGTGTGTGGTCAGTTTGAGCACCCGCCCGAGCACACCAAGACGGACAAGGACAGACACACCAGACGATTCGCATCGCAGAACGAGCTCATGGCCGGTGCGTACACACACACACACACACGCGGCCGTGTGCGTGTGGCCATCTGTGTACTTATGTCTCGTGCGTGTCGCACTTGCCACTGACAGGCCACAATGCGCAGCTGGTGGAGGCCGCAAAGGGGCTCATTCGGGTGGGTTTGTGTGTGAGTGTACACAAAGCCCTCATGAGTGTGTGTATCGTTAAAGTGTGTCTGTGTCTGTCTGTGTTTCCATCCATCCATCCGTAGGATGCCGTGTCGGCGTACCCCACGGCAGCGGCGCCTCTGCGGACGCTCGTCTACCTGCTGCTCATACAGGGGAAGAGGTACCTTCTTCAACACTTCCACCCACACTCACTGTCTGATATGGAGGCTCACGTGTGTGTGTGTGCCGACCCCAACACAGGGAAGAGGCCCTGCAGTTGCTGCAGAAGAGGCGGGCGGACGAGGCCTTCCTCTCTGCGGTGCTGGGGCCGGCGCGGCCGATGCATCCATGACACACAAAGACACACATACACACGCTCGCTGCCTGTCTTCCTGTCATTCACACATTTTTGCCCTAGCAAAATTCTCGACGTACATTCATGTGTACAGCCATGACCAGACAGAGAGACAGACAGATAGATTCATGTGTGTGTGCTGATGCACACGCAGAGCGGACAGACAGCCAGACAGACAGGCAGACAGACGTGTGTGTGCGTGTGCGTGGCTTGGCTGTATTTGTATCTCTCCCTCCGTGTGTGTATGTATGGCTGTGTGTGACTGACTGACTGACTGACTGAGTGAGTGAGTGAGTGAGTGTGCAGCGCGGTGCTTAGAGAGAGAGGGGTGGCCTGGGGGGACAGGACAGTTAGCCGCCGTAGCCGTAGCCTTTCTCTCACCGATACATACATACATACATACACTGTGATTTAAGCCCATACACATACACACACGTGTCACCGTCACACCACACCCAGCCACCCATGGTGCACCCACACCCCGCCACTCCCTCAGACAGATCAGACCCTCTTTCTGTTTGCATGATCGACATTGTATGGTATGTATGCGTACGGATATTTGTCACTCGTTGATTGAAGACCATGATGCAGTCAGTGGCCGAACTGTGACGATCCTCAAACATACAGCATCGGCCAGAGAGGGTTTCCTGGCGGACGGCGACATGGCCCCCACTTAGCCCCCAGTCTCCGACTCTGTTGTTTGCACCCCTCCCCCGGCAAACCAAATTCTCCTTTGCCCGTGGCCCGCATCAAGTCACCATGCAGAACTTCAACCTCTCAAACAACGACGAGGCCTGCAAAGACGGCCTCGAGATCCTCCTCAAACCCAAATACTACGGTGTGCTGTGACACTTTGCGATGATCACTGCAATTGCTGCGATCGTGTGTGTTATGCTATGCGTCGTGTGTGTGCGTTGATTGCATGGTGCAGGTGTGATAGAGCCGTGGACGCTCACGGCCACGGAGAAGGAGAAGGTCGACATCGCAAAGCTGGCGCGCATCGTCGAGTGCGAGCCGGACCCTTCGACCACCATCCTGCCGCGCACGCAGGTCGCGGCCGACATATCGAGATACGACGCCAAGGAGGCCGTGAGGGCCACCCTGCACCAATGGCAGCCACACAGGAGTGGCGCCAGGTCAGTGCAGTCCAGGCATACAGACGTTCATAGAGACAAGGGCCGTTTGTGTGTGTGTGTGTGTGTGTGTGCAGTTTGCGTGGCAAGGATGAGATTGGGGAGTGGCACAAGGCCATGCGGCCGCCCGCGATGGTGTCGGCCCGACACGCGCCTTTCAACATGTGCGTATGCGTGACGACAGACCCACAAACAGGCATCCATCTGAGAATGTCTGGCATTGCCTGAGTGTGTCTGCAGGTCTTCGGAGCAGCAGGACGCCGTGCTTGCCAATGTACGTAGATACACAGTTCATGTGACTCAGAGAGATACGTGCTCAATGCCGTAATCGGCGTGTGTGTGTGACCCTGTCAGCCGAAAGGTCTGTTCCGCCCGCTCAAGGACACGGGCAAAGCCATGGACCAGCAGCAGCCGGTGAGGGCATAGCATAAACAAACACTCTTTCTCTGGTGCGTACACATCTTCACGACGCAGGATTTGCACGATCGCACACTGTCGGCGTTCGCAAGGCGCAACATCAAGTCGCTGCAGCCGCCCAGAGGTGAGTCGGTGGCCGTGTGGGGCCAGCCTGTGAACGGGCATGTGTGTGTGTGTGCCCATTCATTAAGGTAACCGTTTCCGGACCCAGCAGCAGGTGGATGACTACTTCCGGCTCAACTATGAGCGCCTCAGCACGGTGTGTACACCCCCACCTCTAGAGAGAGACACGGGGGGCACTGCACTGCACTGCACTGGATGTGTCCCTCTGCGTCGCGTGCTGCAGCAAGGCTGCGCGAGAGTTCTGATCCCTCGGGCTGTCAGGAGGTCGGTGGGTGCGTTGTGTCTCTCTGATGCGTCAATGGCATACATATGCCTGGCCTGCTCATGTCCATCTAGGTTGGAGAGTTGGCAGATTCTGAGGGCCAGCGAGGCGGAGAAGGCCAACGTCGTCAAGCTGCTCAAGAGGTGACGGGAGACGCACACAACACACCCACACTCATATGTGTATGGGTGGTGGATCTCTGCAGTTTGGAGCACGCTGTGTCTGCACTGCCCGACTATAAGATCATGTCGGGCGCCCTCGAGGGCATCGACCCGTGGAACCGACTCTTCGAAGACCACCGCGTCCACAAGTAAGTGTGCCCGTGTGTGTCTGTCTGTCTACTCAGCACATGTCTCTGCTGCATATGCGTAGGTATCACAAGGACCTGCTCAACATCCGGCTGTACGGTGGCCCCGGCGGCCCTTTCCCCATGCAGCAGCCCACACAAAACGAGCGGCCATGGACGGTTGGCTTGCCTCGCACAGACACCAACCAACACACACAGAATTATATACGAGTGTCGTGTGTATGTGTGTGTATGTCGTTGCAGGCGCCCGGCGGTCAGCATTCGATCGGCGATGTGTATAACGCCATGCAGTGGACACTGTCGCGGAACCGCCCCAAGCCGCCGCCCATGATCACCGCTGCAGAGATGGCGGAGGCTGCCGACCGGTCAGAACCAGACGTATGAATGCACACGTGTGCGTGTGCGTGTGCGTCGTGTGTGTGCAGAGTGCGTCAGCGTGCGGAGCGTGCGCGGAAGCATCTGGCGGGAGGTCTGTGTTTCCCCTGGGTGGCCAAGGAGAAGAAATCCCAGTACCAGCGGTCGTATGTGCCGCTGCCCCACGACCAGGACGTCATCTATCGCCGCCAGCCGGCCGAACGCACACACGAGGCCATCGCTGTCGGCGGCCTCGAGGCAACTGCAATGAGTGCAGGTACTGCCCCTGGCCGTGTTTGGGCCCGTGCAGTGCAGTGCATGCAATGGTTGGAGCGTACACGCTTGTGTCTGGCTGTTTGTATGTGTAGGTGCTGGTGGTGTGTATGAGGACACGGCGACGATGCTCAAGGCCTGTGTGTCGCCGCTGATCACCAGCGAGCGGCTCCCCGAGAAATGAACGAACATACACAATTGAGGACAGGGGATGGATGGATGGATGGAAGGAGACACGATTGAACGATTCAGCTGCCGCCATGTGCGTGTATGTTATGAAGAAAATGCATAAAGGCAACCAGCAAGTCGCACAATGATTGACACACTATGGACCTAACAAACACCGGCACAACGACCTATCTCTAGCACTCACGCCATGTCTCTCCCACTCCTTGCCCGACCCCACAGCCGCTGCAGCAGCAGAGAACACTTCCCTGTCATGGGATCCTTTTCCCCCTTCTCCCCCTTCCTCTCACCCCCTGCGGCGACGGCCACAGGCAACACGAATGGGAATGCCTTCATCGATACCGCCAGAATGTCCACCATCTCGGTCAAGGGAAGCCACTCCACCAGTCGGCACAAAACCGCATCGGATTCGCAATATAAGGGATAATGATTGGACGCCGACGGCCTGCCAGTGGCAGGCCGGACCTTCGGGTCGGGGAAAACGAGGTTCGGCGGCAGATGGGATGGGGCAGAGACACCCACACTTGTTGCATTGAGATGATGGTGCCGGATGAGGCGCGGCCTGGCCGTCCTTTTGTGTGACTTGAGAAACCTCTCCGCGCGGCTCTCAGTGCCATTCAGGGTGTGGTGGCTGGATGCCGCCGCTCTTCTGACTACCTGCAGGAATGAGGGCCGGTCGTTGCTGCAGAGGAGGCAGCCGTAACCTGCTGAATCGCTGGGCAGCACCCTGCCAGAGGTATGGCGAAGAGGCCAGGTGAGGAGAAGGGTCACGCAGGCCGGCAGGAGGAGATGCATACCGCCCCACGTCCAATGGCCCCCATCGCCCCTGCATGCATGCTGATTTACGCTTCCGGATAACCCCTCAGCAATAATCCACGAGAGCGCCCTTCTTGGTTGGATTCTTCAAGCCTTCACAGAGGCAGATATCAACCCCCCTCGAGTCATCGGCATGCCGCCGCCCGCCGCAGCACTCATCTTTCTCGTCCTGTCATCATGGCGGATGCTGGAGGTGCATCCCCCCCACAAAGGCGCTCGCTTTCCCGCAGACCGCCGCGGCGCTGGGTGGCGTCTGCCCGCCCCGCCGCCCGTAGAACTGCTCCCCGCCCCGCCACGCGTTGAGCAGCAGATGCATCTGCAGATGCATCTGCAGATGCACGCGGCGATGCAGCCACTGGCGTTGCTCGCCTTCCGAGTCATCGGGAACATCGAGAGAAGCCCGCCCAAGTGCGGCATGCTGCCGGCGCCAGCGAACACCCACCGACCACCCTCCAGCGCCGAGCCACCTGGCATCAACGACCACAGATCTGCAGATTCAACTCGCTCGGGCGGGTCAAATCCATGGTACTTCCATGAATGAAGCGCTTTGCAAAGCGACAGAGAGAACATGCAGCTGACATGTCTTCTGTGTCCTGACTGACACCAGGTTCATATTGGCGCTGTCGGCTGTTTGGGTGGTGTATCCGGGATCTCTGTTGCTACTCCTACTGAGGTGACCCCGGCAAGAGCCACTCGAATGCATGTATCTGAACACTCTGAATGCTTTGCCTTTTGTAGGCCCGCGTCTGGCCAGAGAGACAGAGGCAAGCGCCCGAGGCGAGCGATCTCACGACGAGTCCGACGCATCATTCAGAGGTGCTCCTTCAAAATAGCGCAGCGATGTCGAAGGAGCCGCGCTGTCGATGCCGGAGGGGAGTGCAGTGGGACTGTCACGCGTGTGAAGGGCGATCCATCCGATGCCGTGTTCAAAGTGGGGGATGAGGTGTGTGGCGCCATTAGTGGTTGCCTCAAGACCTACGTCACGACCAGAGCAGATCAGCCACTTTCATCGTGCCGCGTATCGCGCCACGTGTCAGGAGGTGTCGACGATGTCAAAAAGGCCATAAGCGGTCCGGTCCATTTCACAAACCCCCGGAGAATTACACCGCCATTCAATTGTTGCGTTGTCCTAATTGTGGCCGCGATGCGTTCAGATTCCAGCTGCACGGCGCCTACGACACCGAACAACAATGTGCCGAACGAGGCGCCTCTGCAGCATGTCGCCAAGTCGAGCGGCGATGCTGGCAGCCCGACGTCGGACAGCTGGCACACACGGTGGGTGAGTGGTCAGCCATGTCAGTGACGTGCCGAGAGGAGACACGCATATATCTCTGCTGTCCTCGCCCCGCCTGTTTCGTGCAGTGTGTGTTTCCGTGCGTTTTTGAAGCATCGTGCGCAGCCGTCGGCCTCGGCTCTCAGCAACTATCTGGCGGTGGGTGATCGAGAGAGAACGGCACAATTGATTCCAAACACCCAGCCGTCCCCGTATGTGTCCTGTCTGTCTGGGTGGGTGTGGTGTGGCGTGTGCAGGCATGTGATGAGGAGCTGTCCCATTTGCTCTCGGGTGTGGGCATGACCTATGAGACATTCAGCAAAACGTAAGTACACACGTCCACATGATATCCATCCATCCATCCATCCATCCGCGTGTGTGTGTGTTGGCCGTGATCGATCTACAGCGTGATGATCCGGGCGTTTGCTCTATACGAGAGTTCTAGCCTGGATGCCCCTGACGAGAAGGGCCTCTACCAGCAGGTGTGCATGACCCAACAACACAACACACTCACTCATTTCGGCATTTCCCCTTCATCCACACTCTTATGCATCGATGTGATGTGTGCATTCATTCATTTATTCAGGCCTTGGCCACCGAGCTGTGCATTCTGCTGGACGAATATTACGCCATGTCAGACTAGCCACCCACCAGCATATCCACCGTAGTCCATGCTCGTGTGTGTGTGTGTGGGTTTACGTACGTGGCTGCTGGGTTGATGTGATGTTTTGACTTGCTGGCTTACAGTCATGTTTGTTGTATAGGTTGCCAACCTTGCCTTGCCTTGCTGCCGTCTTGCTGACTCTGATCAGTCACTTCAATTGTACAGACAGCCGAGTGCACGGCACGAGGAGAACACACACAGCAGTCTGTCATGATCACGTCACATATCTATCTATCTATCTTCCACAGACACACACACCACACGGACACACACGCACACGCATGAGCATGAGCATGCCCCGCTCTCCCCTCCCCCTTCATCGCGCAGAAACACAAGAAGTGACAAAGTCCAGCACCCCCATCCAGAGGTCAGTCACCCCGACAGCCGAGACATGCACACGGACGTGCGATCGTTTTAGAAGGGCAGACAGACATACAGTATTTATTTGTACGGCAAGCAGACACAGAAAGCGAAAGCCCGTCGCCTGCCGGCACTCCTGTCTGGGTACCATCCGTCTGGCTGGCTGGCTGGCTGGCTGTTTGACACCTTCGCACTACAACACCGATCGACGAGTACTTCTTCCCCGCCATCCGTTCACATTCGCTCTCTCCCCCCACACCACGCCCCCCAGCTGCTCCCCCGGCATGCACACACACACACACCCTACATCACTCGATCAAGACAGCCGACGGATAGGTGTGACAGATATGATGTCTGTCAAGGAACATACACGCTAATGGCAGGTAGACCATTCATGCAGGCAGGCCACAGCCCCCATGCATCACAGGCAGTCGCACACAGACGCGCCACTCAGCAGACAGAGAGAGCGAAAACCCGTTGTTGCCTCCATTCCTGTCTGGCTACCCGTCTGTCTGTCTGTCTGTCTGTCTGTCTGTCGGACACCCCCGCCAGCTGACTGGTGGAGAAGACACAGACACTCAGGAAAAGCATATCTAGCTCTGCTCCCCCCATACGACGCCCCCATGTGCTGCCCCAGCACACTCATCACGGCACCGCGTGTGCACTTGTGAGGGGACGACTCGGTCGTCCAGGTCTGAACAAAGCGCCTATCCTCGGGGTCCCCTAGCAGGTGAAGGTCAATCTTGACCCAAATCGCCGCCAGCATCAGCGGCCACCCCTGGCCCCCACTGTGCCTCGTCGTTGGGAGGTGTAGCCATCAGATCAGTCACATACCGGAATATCTGATGACATTGACGTGGCCGCTATACGGAAGAGTACGAAGGCCCCAGAGCTGAGAATCCTCCAGTGGCGCGGCGCCCTTCTCTTGCTAGTAAAGGCCGCCCGGGTGCCGAACCCGTCGTAATGCTCATTCCGCAACACCAGCGGCCTCCTCCCTTGCAGAAAATACACCATCATCACATGAGGCTTCCATCTGGCAAAAATCGCCTCCGCCCTCTTCAGCCGGAGGGTCAGCTGCTCGATCGCGACTGCCATGCGGCAGCCGTGGCTGAGTGCCGCAGGAAGAGGAGGCTGGAGGATGACCCACATCAGGAATGACCCGACGCCGACAATGGGCAGCAGCACACCCAATACATGCAGAAGGATGGGCAGGAGGGATCGGCTGAGGGCGCTGCGATGACTGGGGGCCACCGAAGAAGCCACGTCCAGGGTCAGCTGAGTGATGGGCACCTCCACTAAAGCACTAAGGACGGCTTCCACAACGACGGGCAGCAGTCGTGTGAGGACGGCTGTTGTGAATTGGGTGGGATGGGCGTCAATGAGGGCCTCCAGCTGTGAGTAACTCCTGACGTACTCGGCGACCGTCGGGGCGAGGTGTTGCGGCACATGAGAGGCATCGATGGTGCGCTCATGCTGCTGCTGGGTCGCCGACGATGCACTGGCCGCACCTGCAACACGCCACACACACAAACAGACAGCTGTGTGCCGGCATGACAACTGTGTCCTTCTGCAGCATCGCCCCCCGAGATCGCCCTTACCGCCAGCAGCGGATGGATCCGTTACGAGCAGCACCTGACATCTGCAAGAAACGCACAGCACATGACTGAGACCACACACTTTTGCTTGTGTTCCCTTTCCCTCCCTCCCCCCCTGCCGCACCTTGCGAGTCACACAGATCTGCCAGACACAGTAAAGAGACCACACACACTGTCATCCTTGATGGCCTCCCGCCCCTGCTGCTTGTCCTTTAGCACCTCAATGCGTCAGACTCTGGGTGATGAATTCGACGTCCGTCGGTGGAAGCTCGTTGGGGCCGGACACGTGCAGGATGGCGCGGCGCAATCCTGCACGTGTCCGGCGCCAACGAGATTCCCCCGGGGAGGAAGGCGGAAAATTCATCACGCTCTCCTCCGCACGCCAAGCTCGCAGCCTTTGGCTCGCAGAGCGACCCCGCTCGTTAAGCGACCCCGGAGCGGGGGCCATGAGGGCGTGTCTGATCACTGCATCGGCCACTGCTCGTTCTTGGAAAGAAAAGCAAGACACAGGGTGAAAGTGCGTGAGAGAGGCACAAGAAACGTAGATCTGCTTCACAACTCTGTTTTTTCTGCTTGCAGATCTCTCACATCACGCCAGCCATGCAGACGACGCCATCGCCTCATTCAGCTGCTGCCGGGCATCATCGCTGTCACGTGCCGACTGAGGCGTGGTGATTGATTGATGGCATCTTCGTTGCCCGACGACCTGTGGCTCGGGCGCATTCTGCCGTCCCTTCTCGTCCATGAGGCGGTCTGTGTCCGAGCGACCTGCCGGGCGAAGGCGGCTCTGGTGACGGCCGCTCTGCTGGTGGAGCGCATCGACGGCTCCCTGGCCCGCCACTCACTCACCGGCCTCATCGACATCGACCGCACCGCCCCTCTCCCATTCAGCTACTCGCTGCGGGCGGCCTATGTGCTGGAGCAGGGCAGCAACGAGTGGCCTGGGATGGGGCGGTTCATCCGGCTGGCCGCCATCTATCGGCTGACGCCTGCCAATGGGCTGCCCCTGGTGCTGTCCGGCTCAGTGGCTGACAGCCCACCTTCCCAGCAGGACGGCATTCCACCAGCTGCCATTGGCGATGGCCATCTATCGGCTGTTCGGCCGCCTGCTCACATACAATGCACACAGCCTGGCGCTGCAGCCAGCCAACGACAACGGGAGCTATCGGATCGGCAACGTGACGTTTTGTGTGGTTCCGTTGGGTGAGCTGCCTGCCGGCCATCGCTAGGCCGAGGGCTACCAGAGGACCGATCCAGTCATCCGCTGGATCTGGCTCTTCCGCTCATTCTCGGCATTCCTGCTGGCCACGCTGCTCTCCCAATGGCGGGATGGAGAGGGGGTGGGCTACAGGCTGGTGCTGTCTGCACACATCGGCAGTGACGACCCTCGCTGTGACCGTCTGCTGACAGATGACATCACAGAGGACCGGGGCATCGCTGTCGACTATCGCTACGACCGGGGCAATCTGAATGATGCGAATGCGATTGACTATCGTCATGTGATTGTGAGCGGCTTCCGACGCATCGAGACCGTCGCTGTCTCCCTGTGTGTATGGTCGGGCGGCATCAAGCTGTTCACCACTGAGCGGCCTGCCGCCAATACGCCTGCATCCGTCGCTGTCCGCTTCCCCACTTCGGAGCCTTTGTGGCGCCGTCTGCTGCGGCCATTCAATCTGGAGACCGACGTCATCGACAGGGGGGCGGTGGTGGGGTGAGAGGTACTGGTTGGCTGGCGATTGGTGTTGCGTGTGTCGCATGTTGGCGGGGCAGTGTGTGAGTAGTGGAGGGGGACTGATTGACTTCAAAGTGGCTGACTTCAACTTGGATGGCGGTCACTCTCGCTTTTTTTGTCAGACTCAGTGACTGCATGGCATCACTCTTGTGAATGAAGGAACAGGTGTGGAGAACATGAGTTCTGCCTGTTTACATCGTGAACCGCCTAGGGTATTACCTGAAACCGCTGCAACTGATCTGCTTCTGACCGCCCAGCACAAGCAGTGGCCTTGTGTCAACGTACTGTATATCTACCACTCACACAGCTGATTGTTCGCCTCGCCGTTTTATGGCCTTGCCCGCTCGGTGCATCTATGTCAAGCAGCCGTGGTGGAGGCTTCTGCTGTCATCTTCGATCCTGCTCCTCCTCTCACCGCTATCTCGCTCCGATGAGTCATCTCCCGCCCTGCGCCACCGCAGCAGCAACAGCAGCAGCAGTATGAACGACGACATCTCCCCGTGCCCCTCTCCAGAGGCCAATAGTGTCATGGACAACCGCTCGGGCACCGGCACTGGTCGGCCCATCATCGGCATCGTGACGCAGCCATCGAACGGGCTGCGCGATCGGCTGCGCAGACGGGGCGAGGATGCGACGGTTGCTGGTGAGGACGTGTCGACCATTGCTGCCAGCTACGTCAGGTGGGAGGGAGGCTGGAGGGACGGATGGGTGGAGAGAGCTAAGATCTGTCAGCCTGCCTGCCTGCCTGCATGCTGGTTGTGAGTGTATGTTATGTGCAGGTTCGTGGAGTCTGGCGGTGCTCGTGTGGTACCTGTGAGATATGATGCGTCAGAGGTGAGAGAGGGGCGGAGGTGTGTGTGTGAGTGCTGACTGCGTGAGTGTCCTTGCGTGTGCGTCTGCTCGTTCCTGAAGGACGAGTGGGAGTACCTCTTCAACTCAATCAACGGCATCCTCTTTCCCGGTAGATCGACATGGCATGGACCAACCCACACAGCCGAGCTCTCGTCGCATAGCACAATGGGCTGGGCGTGTCGTGTGTGCAGGTGGGGCGATGTTCTTGGAAGGAGGCAGCCCATACATGCGCGCACACGAATTCTTCGTCAGACGGGCCATGAAAGTAAAGAACTTGACTGACCGGCACGGCACACGAGTCGACGACGGGGAAGTGGCGTGTGTTGTGTTTTGTGTGGCGTCATCAGGCCTTCGACCAAGGCGACTACTTTCCCGGTGAGTGAGTGTGTGTGTGGCAACAGAGGAGAGTCGCGCTCATGTGCATTGTCATGCGTGAGTGCTGCTTGCGCGTGTGTGTGCACAGTGTGGGGCACCTGCCTGGGGTTCGAGGCGATTGTGGATGTGATCTCGGGCGACTACTCGCTTATCCGGCAGTCGCACTTCAACGACAGCAACCACCCCTCCAACCTCTCATTCGACAGGACGCACAAGCCCATCCAGTGCAGCAGGATGTTCAGACCACTCATGGCGCACCCGCACGCCGACTGCCGCCACGAGAGTGGCCCAGTGGGTGCGATGAACGGCCGTCACGACGTGTCGGCGCCTGACCCTGGCCTGTGGTCCTTTCTGTCCCCTACAATCTTGCAAGTGCTGGAAAATGCAAAGGTCAGGCAGTGCGACAGACACGGTGACTTGACTGACGGGCGCCGTGGCACACGTGCAGGGCAGCGCAGCGAGCCACGTGTGTCTATGTGTTGTGTTGTGTGCGGTGTGTTGTGTTGTGTTGTGTTAATCAACCAGGTGGTGTATTACAACCATGAGCGTGGCATCAACCTGACGACGTGGGAGTCGACGCCCTCGCTGATGGAGTTCTTTGATGTGCTCAGCACCAGCAGGTGAATATGAGCGAACCAGTGAGTCAGTCAGTCGGTGATACATACCATGGAACTTGGAAGGATTGCATCGGTGGTGTCTGTCGGTGTGTCGTGTGAGCAGAGACAAGAACGGCGTGGACTTCGTGTCGACCATCGAGAGCAGAAGGCAGGCAGCGAACCGAATGAGCCGATTGACGCACCCCCTTCTGTATTGTATGTGTGTATTGGGTGCATGTTGTCTGGGATTGATGGTGCCTGGCTGCCAGGTATCCGATATACGGCGTGCAGTGGCACCCCGAGAAGAACGCCTTCGAGTGGTCGCCATGGCTGGACATTCCCCACTCGGTCGGTCAGCCCAACTACCTTACACAACACATGGCAAAGGGCATTCGCTTCGTTACCTTACTGCTATGGGTTCCCTGTGTGTGTGTCAGTCTGATGCGGTCCGGGTGACGCAGTACTTGGCTCTCTTCCTGGCCAACGAGGCGCGCAAATCCTCACACACCTTCCCATCACGGTGTGTACACACAGACACACACAGAGGAAGAGACAGAGGAGGGAGAGGGATGCTCAGCCCCCGGCCGGCCACATCCGTGTCTGTCGGGGTGTGTGGGTGTGTGATGTGATGTGATCCAACAGCAAGGCAGAGTTCGCGTCGTTGATATACCACTTTCCGTCGATCATGACTGCCGACGCCGAGCACAAGTACACCTTTGAGCAGCTGTACCTCGTCAGGGCCCGCAACCACACTAAGGGCAGCAGCAGCACTGCTGAGCGGGAGGGACACCTCCCCAATGGAGATGCCCTTATCGTAAGCAGCCGGCAAACGCATGGATGGATGGATGGATGTCTCGTGATGGCTGGTGGTGTGGTGTTTTGGCAGGCATGAGACGTTTGACAACAGGAGCGAACTGGCAGTTCGCGAACTGGGACGTCTTCCGCGTCTGTGTGTGCGTATGTGATGTGTGTTGTACCCTAGCTGCCTGACTTCCTCTCTGCCTCTCTGCCTGAATTCTTGTCGTCGTTGCATTTTGCCAATCGCATGCGGAGACAATGCGAAGATGATGATTAGTGTGTGTACATGTACAGCAGATAACACAGGCAGGCAGGCAGAGAGAAACCATGCACTCACTGATGGGGAACGAAGAGATTGCCGTTTGTTGACGGTGCCGTGATGTGTAGTTAGCAGTGGGGTGGGTGAGTGTGGCGTTTTGGCAAATGAGTGAGTGAGTGCGTGCATCCGTCGTGAAGTGTGTCGTCATAATGTGGTCGTCTTGTGCGGCTGACTGCGCACAAAAGATACTTCTTAAGACGTGTGCATGTCCTCGTACGGTGGATCAATAGGGAGCCGGACAGGCATTAAGTGCATGGCAATATATCACGTAACTAACGACACTTGTCCGTGTCTACACACACACGAAAAACGATTTGTTCCCCAATCAACAGCCCCACTTGAATCGCACCATGACGCCCCAGTGGTCCGACACATGCCGACCACAGGGCAGCTTCTCGCGGCCCACCAGCTGCATCCGCTCTGGCCGCAACGCTTGCTGACACCCACCACGACTGGCCACATAGACACGGTCGAACCGATGGCTGGCCGACACACACACACAGCATCCATCCTCCATCGACGTGAAGGTGGGTGTGCAGTCCAGTGCTTAGCCTACGGCGGCAGTTTGTTCTTGATTCCTTCCTTGCGCATCCAGTGCTGTATGTTGACGTTGTCGGACGGCACGTAGGTGTTGCCGCAGTCCCCCGGGCAGCCCAGCAGCGAGTACACATCCGACAAACGACCACTGGGCAGCTCTGCAGACATGTACCCCAAGGCAGACACAGCAACACAGACGCGCACGCCGTGTGTGTCATGTTTTTTGTATGTGTTTGTGTCGCTCACACACACACACACCTGAGAGTTCCTCGTCGCGAATGTTGAGGTCCTCCGCCATGATAAGGGACCCGAGATCGGGAGACGACGAGCGGTCATCCAGCAACCTTACGCGCACACAGACAAGAGAGCCAGGCGTAAGCAGACAGACATCCAGATGAAGTACATCCATCCTCTCCTGGCTGCTCATCTCACTTGATGATGGTCCGGCCAGCGTCCCTCAGCTGCTCTCGCCGGAACTGGTTGCTGCAGGCGCATGGACTGCAGTGTGGGTGCTGTGGTCGGCTCGGCTGGTGTGCGGTTGACTCACTCACTCAGTCACTCACTTGTTGCTGCGGTGGCCGCTGTCGAGGTGTGTGTTGCACAGCAGCAACTCCGTGTCGCCACTGGCGCCATCAACCGGCCTCACCCGCACATGGCAGAGGCGCCTGCACCCACACAGAAACCAGCTACGTGTGATCTGATCCCTTTGGCTGCCTGTCTTCATCCCTGGCATAGGTGACTGAACTGACCGCAGCTTCTCGTCGCCCCTCTTGCCGATCTGCCCGCGCCGGTACCAATGAGTATCGGGCGAGCCGCCTACATGCCCGACACATACACAGGCTGCTCCAATTGCCGCCTTGCTTCCCAGCCGCCCTCCCTCCCTGCCGCTCACCGATGACATTCAGCGATCGCTTCAACACCAACGTCACGTTGAGAGGGTCAACTCTGCCGGCAGCCAGACAGGAAGGCAGGGACGCAAGTGAGTCGACTCACTGCGTATGCCGTCATGTCATGTGTCTGCTCTGCATGTGCTGGCGTACTCCCGCCCCGATGGGTGTTGTGGTACGAGGACATGGTATTCGTCGCCGAGGTAGTGCTCGCCGCCCGGCGCACTCAACTGTATCTGCATTCACGCATACAATACAGCCAGAAATGTGTGCATGGCCAGCCAGCAAGCCGGCCAGGCACGCGCGCACACAGAGAGTGGCCCTTACCGCCCTGAGCGGCGTGACTTCCTGCAGAAACACGATGTCCGGCTGCTCCTTCCGAATCAGCGCGACCAGGGCCCTCTGCCGCTCCTCGCGGTCGGTGTCCTCAACGTCGATATTCCTGCAACACACAACACACCACACCACCCATATATACAGCACACCACATGCACTGCGATGCGATGCATGTCAGTCCTGTGCGTGTGTGGTCACCAGGTCAGAAATGTCAAAGCCAGCGGTCCGCTGCGCTTTGCCGGCGATGATGCGGCAGCAGATGCAGAGGCGCTCTCCGCCCCGCCATCAGTCCGCGCCTGCAGCCATCCGCAAACCGCATGTGGGAGAGATGGGAGAGATGGGTTCGGCATCTCCCTTGTTTGACCTTTTTCTTCGCAGGTTCGTCAGCAATGGTGCCCTTGTCGCCCTCTTCCTTCGCCGACATCTCAAGCTCCAAAACTTCGCCCCGATCGCATCTGCGAGCTCAAAAGCTCACACCTTTGGAGAGCCAGATCTGTTATCTTGACGTGCCTGAGGACCGTTCATACGTCCACCATTCAATTCGGTCAAGCTGGATCTTCCGCCAATTCGTCTATTCAGTTGACACAGCTGATCTCTCACCGGCTGGTTTTCCCGCTTCCTCTGTAGAGGGAATGAGCAGCCCGCCGCTGTTTTCGACGTCTTACCCGTCGGCCAGTGTGCCGCCGCCGACGCAGCATGCAGCCCCCGTGATGAGCCGCCGCATCCAGGTATCAGGCGGCGAGTCCATCGAGGTGCGCGCAACCATGCCCCTCTCGCCACCGCCTGTCAAGGTACGTACGTGGGCATGAACAGTAAGTACAGTTCCAAAGGGAAAGGAATGGGTCGGTCTGATTGATTCCCATTGATGGATTTCCTCTGTCTGTTTCCTCGGTAGGTGAGTCGCCACAGCTGTCATGGGTGGGAGTTCGACAGCCGCAAGGGCGTCATGTGGACGCACGGAGACCTCGACAGGTTCGTGTGGTGTTGTGTGTTGGGCGGGTCTGGTCAGAAGAGGGGTTTGTTTCGTGCTGCACTCACTGATTTTCCTCTCAAGTTGTCCCTCCCTCTGTGCATGTGTGTGATGTGATACATATCAGCCGTGGTCGTGCTCACACGGGTGAGATATCCTTCCCCGACGCCGTCTTTGGCGACAACCGGCTCACCATCCGCCACCCATCCCGAGGCTTCTCCATCACTTTCGAGCCGCTCGAGGCCCTCAAGGGCTGCAAACTCACGTACGCACGGACAAACGGACAACGAGTCGAGCAATGGGAGCTGAAGAGGTTGCCATGCCTTCCTTGTGTGTCGTGGCCTGCAGTGACCCATCTTGCTTCTGTGCGCCCAAGAGGGACTTTGAGCCTTCCATTCCGAAGGTGTCTTATGCGGATCAGTGGCTCAAGAGGAGCCAGGCCGTCGAGTAAGGACCACACACCACACCACACCACACCACACCACACACATCACATGGAAACATGGCTGTGTGGTGTGTCTGCAGGGAGTGGGCCGAGGTGAAGAAGCCCGCCATGACTTACGACTGGACATACTCGACACCCTACTGGGGACACATGGAGCGGACTGATGACGCGACGCCGGTACGCGCGCGAGAAACATTATCTCGGCTGCAGGCATGTCTTTCTGTGTGTGTATGTGTGCAGTGCGATGATGGGTGTATGTCTGTGCTGCCGATGGATCGTCTGGTGCGGCAGGACCCCATTGCTTGGTACGACCAGGTGGGTAAACCAACACAATCACGAACACACAGCACAACGACACACACATGTGTGTGCAAGTGTGCATCCGGCCCTCTATGTGCGTGTGTGTGTGTGCAGGTGCCGCTGTTTGAGAGCGACCTTGATGACAATGGCGTTTCCAGAATGTTCGTCAAAGTGGTACGCACAGTGAATGCATGGAGGCGCCTTCGCACTCCATCGGCCCACTGCCGTGTTTGTTTGCTGATCTGTCCATCGTCAGCGTGTGATGCCCACTTTCTGGTTTGTGCTGCTTCGGTGCGACATCCGTGTCGACAACGTCATGCTCAGACAGGTAAGGCGACAGCAGATGTGTGTGGAGAAGACACAACAAACGTGCCCTCCCTCTCCCCGTGTGTGTGGATCAGATCGACACGCGCGTCTTTCACGATTTCGGCGAGGCTGAGGTGCTGCGCGAGTTCACCTGGAAAGAGGGCACCTTTGAGCAGCTCGCACAGGTGAATCCACAGCTCCAGAAATGTGTGAACTTGTGTATGTGTGTACTTGTGGATGTGTGTGTGCATTGCAGCGTGGCTGTGACCTGGGTGCTGGGTCGCCACATATATCACACGAGACCTGCGGCACACACCTCCTCACACAAGTAGGTGGCTGGGTGGGATCGGTCGAGAAATATGAGAGCAATCCCGTATCTGCTTGACTGTGTGTGTGTGTGTGTGTGTGTCGTGTGCAGGATGACATCAAGTGGCGTGTGATGCAGAGCATCCCACTGGTGGGTCATTCTGCCGGTGATATCAACGGCGGCCCAGAGCACCTCACGTCGAAGACACAGTCAAATGGGGAGGGGGGCGGCGGCATGCAGGACGACGAGACAATGGCGAGTGCCGGGCGGCCGTAGGGGCGGTGCTGAGAGAGGCCTCTCTGCAGTCATTGCTGTGCATTAGCTTATCCTCCTGCCCCAGACAGACAGACATCAGACACAGGGGGTGAGTGACGTCAGCTGTGTGTCGCTGAGATGGATGATTGATAAACTGACTCAAGCAGTACTCATAGCTGGGGCCTTCTGCGCCCGCCGCCAGAGTCGTCCTCCATCGCCCCGTCAGTTGGTCAGATCAACGTCGGTCGAAGAGATGATGGCCACATCTGTGTTGATCGATGTCATCACAGCAGCTCTTTGAGCATCTCACAGACACTCCAGGCGGCCCTGTTGTCATCAAAATGATTGGAAAAGGGCGGTGCAGAGGTGTTTGGAGACAGCAAGACTCCCACCACAGGCACACACTCATGCTCACAGACAGGCCTTCCTCAACAGATGATGCATACGTTGTGTGTCGGTTTCATCCACGGTGGCTTGTGTCTCATGACGAGGATATAGGTCTGGTGATTTATGTCTATCAAACGAGTCGAGGGTGCACATTCATTCATTCATTCACGTGAACAAACCAGTCAGTCAAAAGAGTCCGATAGAAACGAGTGGACATTCATCGATCCATGCATACTTGCAAAATGTAGTCAGCCTTGCTCCGCCACTAACACGGCTCGGTCAACATGCCAGAACACCTATCAAGCCAGCACCCCTCAGCCCACCACCCTCTCCCTGTCGATGACGTCACGCTCGAGACCGAATGGCCGCAGCACACGGCGGGCGGCACCAACCGACACAGGGTAGCGGTCTGCGAGCGGAAGTAGCTGTACAGCCACAGATTCCTCGGTCGTGTACAGCTCGATGTCGCCCCACCATACGCACAGGTGCGCAGCGACGGTCTCATTGGGCCGCCAGCCGCTCAGAATCACATCACGAACGTCCCTCGCATCAGCAGCATTAAGATTGCCCCAATCCAAGCGATAGTCGACCGCGATGCCCTGACCCTCTGTGATGTCGTCGGTCCTCAGCAGACGGCCACAGCGAAAGTCGTCACGGCCGATTCGTGCAGAGAGCACCAGCTTGCCCACCCCCTCTTGACGGCGCCACCGGCAGAGCAGCCTCTTTAGCAAGAATGCCGAGAAGGAAGGGTAGAGCCATCCGCTCCAGCGGATGACAGGGTCGGTCCTCTGGTAGCCCTCAGCATAGGGATGGCCGGCAGGCAGCTCACCCAGCGGCACCACACCAAACGGCACCTCATTGCCGACCCGATAGGCCCCGTTGTCGGCTGGCTGCAGCGCCAGGCTGTGTGTGTTGTGTGTGACCATGTGGCCGAACAGCCGATAGATTGCCATCGCCAATGGCAGCTGGTGGAATGCCGTCCTGCTGGGCAGGTGGGCTGCCAGCCACTGAGCCGACAGCACCAGGGGCAGCCCATTGGCAGGGATCAGCCGATAGATGGCGGCCAGCCGGATGAACCGCCCCATCCCAGGCCACTCGTTGCTGCCCTGCTCCAGCACATAGGCCGCCCGCAGCACATAGCTGAATGGGAGAGGGGCGGTGCGGTCGATGTCGATGAGGCCGGTGAGGGAGTGGCGGGCGAGGGAGCCGTCGATGCGCTCCACCAGCAGAGCGGCGGTCACTAGAGCCGCCTTCGCTTGGCAGGCCGCTCTGACACAGACCGCCTCATGGACGAGAAGGGACGGCAGAATGCGCCGGCGCCACAGCTCGTCGGGCACCAAATCAGACATCGCCTCGAATCACTCACTCAGTCAGCGCATGGCAAACACCTGCCAGACAGCACACAGGACACACACAAGGAAGCAGAGAGCGACTGCACACATGGGCGCCAGGTCTGCGCGACGAATGTGGTTCTTCTCTCACCCTTCATAAGTTGACCACGTGCAGTGCAGGAGGCACAACGACGCCGGCCCGTGTGATCATGAAGCCTCTGTCCGCTCACTCGCACAGATCAACGAGGCAGAAGGCGCCTCAGACCTGCCCAACCGCACACAGAAATCACACAAGCTGTCATCCCGGTGCCATCAGCCCCTCCCACCGCCCTCGCACCTTCAATTGGCCACTTGAGCCTTCCTCAGAGAGGAGGTGGCATTATGTGTGTGGATCGACATCATCTCAGGAGGTCTTTGTGTGCATCACAGAGACCCTGCACCGCCCTGTTGTCATCGCAAAGACAAAGAGATCTGCAAAAAACCAAGCTCGCAGATGGTCCCGGACGTCTTCCCCCGTCTTGGGAGATTTCGGAAATCCCAAGCCACTCAGTGAAGGTAAAGAGATGCAAGAGAAGCAGACGAAGCTTGGAGAGCGCTTCACGAGCTGTTTGTGTCTGTCCCAGTGCTTCAGATCTCTCACATCACGCTTCGCTGAGGCCTCAGGACACTCACGATGCAGCCCACTGGTGCAGCCCACTCCTCGTCCCGTCCCCCCAGCCCTGCCCTCTTCCAGCCCGCCGACCTCTTTGACCTGTCATTGCCCATCAGCAAGATGGCCGCCATGGCCATGGCGACTGACGATGCCAAACGAGCCGCTCTCCGCTCGCAGCTCGCCACCCGCACTCGGCAACAGGAGCTGCTGGGCCACACTGCGGAGACCGTCAACAGCACCCTGCTCAACGCCGTCCAGCGCCACATCCACAAGGCCATCACTCGTCTCGGCCTGGCGGACGTGTTGGCCTTCGACATTGGCGATAATGTGGAGGCCGGCTTGAAGGTGGTCAATGTGCTGGAGCGGGGCAGTGGCGAGGAGTGGCGGGCGATGGGGCGGTTTCTTCGGATGGCCTTCATCTACCGGCTCACCCCTGCTGATGCGACGCGGCCTCTCCGGCTGTCGGCCGACGTGCTGCCCACAGCAACGGCATTCCACCAGCTGCCCCTCGCCATGGCCATCTACAAAATCATCGGCCACATGCTGACATATGGAGGGACCAGCCTGGCGCTGCAGCAGACCGACGACAACGGACACTATCGAATCGAAGATCAGTTGTTTCGTGTGGTGCCGTTGGGTGAGCTGCCGGGCGGCCATCGCTATGCTGAGGGCTACAAGCGGACCGACCCTGTCATCCGACGGGGCAGCGTCCTCTATCCCTCATTCTCGACATTCTTGATGGTCAATGTGCTCGCCAGGTGGTCGGATGGAGAGGGAGTGGGCGACAGGCTGGTGCTGTCGGCATGCATCGGCCGTGATGACCCTCGCTATGGCCGACTGCTGATCGACGCCATTACAGAGGATCAGGGCATCGCTGTCGACTACCGCAATGACGGGGGCGATCTGAATGATGCTGATGGGAGGACTGCTCGTTCTGTAATAGTGAGCGGCTGGCGACTCAACGAGACTGTGGCTGCCTACCTGTGGGTTAATTTGGGCGCCATCCATCTGTGCACGACCGAGGCACTCGTCGGCGATCGGTCTCAGCCGCTCGCCGACCGCTTCCGAGTGTCCGTTGGTGCCGCCTGCCGTCTGCTGCGGCCATTCGGTCTGGAGAGTGACGTCATGGACAGGGGGACGGTGGTGGGGTGAGGGATGTCGGCTGGCGATTGGGCTGTTGTTGGTGCGTTTAATGGGTGGAGAGGGCTGTCTGTCTGTCTGTCTGCCTGCACGCCGACTGACGAGCAGCGGTGGAAGGAGACTGAGTGATTTGAAATGGGTGGTTGACTGCATTGTGTGCCATGGGTGGATGGGCGAATGTTCTACTCGTTTTTGTCGGACTCACTTGACTGCATGGCCTCACTCAAATGATTGAATGAATGAAGCACACAGTAATGTGTGAGTGGTTAGAGATGTCAAGTGTGTGAGTGATTAGTTTGGTGTGCATAGGCGTGCGGCTCGACACACACTGATCAACACGATGCACATGAAGTGATGCACTCACACAGGAAGTCACCACACATTCATTCACACTCCCACATACACGCAGAGAGAGACAGTCCACTCACGAACTGCCACCCGTCCGTCGGCCAATACCCAGGCGGTGTGCTCGTGAATGCACAAAGCCGCATCTCTACCGCAAGGTACCTAACGCAGCAACACACGGACACTCCCCTTCCCCCTTTCCCCCCCTCTCAGTCAGTCAGTCAGTCAGTCACCACACACCCATGTACGCACACACAGAGAGAGAGAGAGGCTGTGGGAGAGGAGAGGTCATGATTGCTGCACACATGACCGTTCGTCGAGGCCGCCTCCCTCCCCTGCAGCACAAGCCAGCTAGCTAAGGCGGGCAAAGGCCGGCCCCTCCCGCCCTCTCTGAGTCAGTCAGTCAGTCAGTCTATCGGCAATATGGATGCTACACACCCCTCAGCCCCACCTCTATCTACTCGTCTGCGACATCCATCGCGCCGTCAGCATCCTCTGCCTCGGCGTCGCCATGGTCCGCTCCCGCAGGAGGATCGACATACGCTGCATTAATGAATCGACGGGAGACGCAGACAGACAGACATCACACACAGTGAGCTGTGTTGAGATGGATGATTGACTACTTGACTCAAGCAGTACCGAGGAATGGGTCTTGCATGTCTCGTGGCTGTGGCCTCCTGGGTCTGAAGGTGTCCTCCTCGCCGCCAGAGTCGTCCTCATCCATCGCCCCATCTGCATCCTCCCCCTCCTCCATCGCACCCTCACCCCTGCCACCACCGCCACCACCGTCGTGGCCATCACCACCACCCTGCGGCGCCCCGCTACCATCCCCACCATCGCCATCGCCGTCGGCGAAGGGGTCGGTCGGCCCATCGAATCGCCGAAACATCCCCGTCCTGTCGATGTAGCCCAGCTGGCCCCAGTCGAAGTGGCAGTCGTCATTGCCAACGAGGGTGTTGAAGCCCTTGACCATCGGCGGCAGCTGACACTTGTCCTTCTTGTCCTGCCGCTTGGCCTTCTTGTCATGAAGCTTGTCCAGCTCGGCTTGCCACTTGGCGATCTCGTCCAGGCGCGCCTTGTGCACCACCTCCTTGAGCCCGAGACGGCCATGTTTGTGCACCGCCTCACGTGGACGGCTGTCGGCTCTGTCGGCAAGGGCGAAGTATTGGAGTGGCGGCTTGGACGCCTTGGCTCGCTTGGCACCTGGCTCATCCCCATCCTCTCCGTCATCATCCGGCTGCTGTACGAGTCGTGTCCCTCCGACCACCTCCCCATTGCCGACCACCTCCAGCGACGCCGCCCTGAAGACGAACACCTTCATGGCCGCATTGATGCGCCGGCCGATCTCCGTCACGTTCTGCACGGGGCGGCGGCTGTGCCACGTGTGCTCGAGTGCCGATGGGTCGATGAAGAACGACGCAACGCGCCAGGCGGTTTCCGACATGCCCTTGCCGGCGAATGGCGTCTCGTCGTCCTGCCAGGGGGCCACCGGATGGGCGTGTGTGGGGAGGGGGGGAGGGGCCACGGAGCGGCGGTATGGGTCGAATGAGGGGAAAACGGCCTTGAGCTGCTGGGCGGTGGCCTTGGGAAGCGCCTGGGTCAGCACGTCGGCCATCTTGCGCATGGGGTGCAGGGCGGCATTGACGCACCGCATGACGCCAAAAGGCAGCTCCTCGAGGACCGTAACGTACTCGGCCAACGCCAGCTGGAAAACCTTGGGCTTGTCGGTGCGGCGGCTGTGTGGGATGCGGGAGATGTCGGCGCCGGCCCTCAGGAGCTCGCGGATGCTGCGCTTGCGGTGGGGAATGTCTCTGGTGGCTCTGTCTCGGACGGATTCCGAGACAAGTCTGTCTGGTTTCTCCGCCCACTCAATCTCGAGATTGAGCCTCCACGCAGCAACACAGAGGGGTGTGTCGTCAGTGTCGTCCGGTGTCCCCCTGTCGACATCATCAGCGGTCAGACGGGAGCACAGAGACGTGACCCCTTGATGGGAGCCGCACCGTGCCGCTCTGTACAATGCCGTCCGCCCCTCCTCGTCACGTGCCCTGATGTCCGCTCCGTTGGCCACCAGCATGTCAACGTACTGGTTGACGAATTGCTGGGAGAAGGCGTGAATGGTGCCGGCCGCAGAATGCAACGCGTCTTGTGCGATGGCGAGAGTGTCGTCGATATCGACGAGCCGCCGGTAGGTCGACAGAAGCCAGTCCTCGTGCACCTCGGTCGGCTGGTCCGTCGGCAATGTCTGTGGCACCGCCAGCTCCCGATTCGCCCCCCGCTTCAGCAGGAGGTCGATGGCGTTGTCGTTGCCCGACGCAATGGCCACTTGCAGGGGCGATGGCAGCGGGTCGCCGTCTTCATTGACGCCGCCATTGACATCCGCCCCACCATCGATGAGGGCGGTGAGGATCTCATCCTGGATGTCGAGGGAGGGGCAGTGCGGCAGAGCGATGGGAGATTCATTGGGATGGTGCCGGACCCAGATGGACGGAACAGTGTTGTCGGTCATGTTGTCGATCGCGAGAGCGAGGATTGAGAAGGAACGAACAATGCCTTCGAAGGCGTCCTCCCAGGGCGCCTCCAGCTCAGGCACCAAGTTCAAATCGACTCCCCCGCTGATCAGCTGCGTGACGTCCTGTCCGCTCGGGAGGGTGCGGCCCAGGACACCATCCCACAGCTGTTCGCTTGGAGGGACATATGCTTCGACTGACATGGGGCCAACAGCGCGGTACCAGCTCATGTCAACGATGTCCGCTCGCTCCCAGCCACGGGGCAGAGCTGCGCCCTCGGCCATGATGTGGTCGTCACCGATCACTGCATGTACCACACACACGGACCAATCACACGTATGCCCGTCGGCTCCATGAATGAGTGCCCGTCTGCTCTCCCTCGCTCGCCTCTGTCCGCCTCACCTGAGTGTGCGCGAGAATGGCATCATGCAGGCTGCAGGCCGCAACACCACTCACCCACAGCAAGCTACCTCTCAGCACAACACTCGAAAATGAGTGCCTGATGCAGCCATCACAACACGTGGAGGAGATCCCTGCAGCCATCACAGCACAACGATGTGTGGCGCGTGAGGCGGTCTCTCTTGCGTGAATGTATGGATTACTTGCTGCAGAGATGTGGGCAGCACCCTGAAAGGCTATGGCATGGATGGGAAGCGCTCACACTGCTGCTCTATGGGCTATCTTTGCCGTCGAAAGCCGATGGATGGAAGGCCGCGCACTGGGCGGGCAGCGGACGAGCAACAAAGAAGGCGGCCCTGCGATGGTCAGCTGCCGGCTGCCCTCCTCCTTCAATCTCCACGGTTGCGAGCTCAGAGAATGCGTTGCGAGGCGTGATCTCCTCATGGCGTGATTGACAGCGTGTGGCGCATTGTCCATGCATCTCGCTCTCATGCAGCCCTCTCCCGTCTTTCTCGCTTTCTTTCTCACAGCAGCCCATACCATCTCGCCGCCGCCAGGGAGGCAGGCGTCATCGCTTGAGCAGCCCAGCAGCAACCACAGCAGCAGCAGCAGCAGCAGCAGCAGGAGCAGCCTGTTTCGGTCGTTTGTGGTGCGGAAGGCTGACGATGTGCACGTGGCGAGCTCTGGCTGGGGATGGGACGTGAGTGTGCGGATGGACGGAGAGGGCATGAGCGAAGATTTGTACCTGGTCGTCAAGGACAAGACGCATCGGCGGCATGGCGCCGATGCATGTGATGCGCCGGCCACCCAGGACGCTGTGTGGGGTGAGCAAAGGACACGGGAATGGCACCATACCTTATCACGTGTGGATGTCTGTCTGTGTGTCTGTCTGCGTGTGTGTGTGTGTGTGTGCAGGTCAGACCCCTTCTCGCGTGTCGGAGGACCGTCGCTCGGCCTCGTTCCATCTGCACAAGCAGTCCAACAGCGAGTTCGGCCAATCCTTCATTCTCTGTCTGTACCAGTCCGTCAAGGCCGACGGTGGCGGCATCATGCTGTCCGAGAGCGTCCGCATCCCCTCTCTCAGCCTGCCCGAGCCACGGCTGACCACACCAGTGGCGATGAACGTGTCCTCTGTGGCCTTCCGGCTGCCCCTTGTGGCACATGGGCTCACCGAGTACACTATATTGTCGCTCAAGCCTTTTGAAATAGGTCAAAACACGCCCACAGACGTTGCTCTCTGTCTGGTCACATGACTCTCCGCCTGTGTGACGATGCAGGCTGCGGTAGCGATTACCACTCCTACAGCCTGGCGTGGCGGTCGGGCCACCCGGCCTCACTCAGACCCACCCACCTCCCACATGCAGCAGCGGCCTTCATGAGCACCATCATGCGCGGCCTCTGGGGGGCCGGCGGCAGGGGGGGCGATTCGAGCGTCGACGCGGCGGCGGACGGCGGGATGAGGAAGTACGTGTTTGATTTCGACGCTAAGGGCAGAGAGGCCGACGCCAAGAACAAGCAGTTTGCCATATGCCTCTTCCGTGAGCCCACCCGACCTTCACGCGATGGATGCAATGCACCCGCATGTGCGCTTCACGCTGCTCTGCAGGTCATTCATTCGACCATGAGCCCCTCTCTGTCGGCACCATATTGGTCAAGCCGACCCGCTCCGGCCGTTCCATGATGCTGGCGCTGTTTTGGGTGGCCATGGTGCTGTCTGTGGCCCTCCTGCTGGGCGGAGTGGGCTTCCTCTCAGCAGTGGGGGGCAAAGAGCCCACCGCACGACCGAGCAGACGACGCGCCAGACATCAGGTGGGTGCCTGATGACGGACATACTTGGGGGTCACGTGTGATGTGCTGTGCCATGTGCGTACGTGTTGCAGTCCCGACGTAGTGAGAATGCCGGGGTGGGCGACTCGCCAACACAGCCCAAGAAGTAAGAAAAGGCGCGACGGAGAGGGGAGGGAGAGAGAGAGAAGCACAGCCACCTCATGACCCTGTCACCTTGTTCCATCTGCCCAGGTCCAAGCTCTGCCACCGTCGCCACGGCCACACGACCAGCTCCCGATCGCACTCCAACCAGTCGCAGGGCATCCAGAAGGAGTGGATCCAGGTCGACTCCTCCAGCCTCTACGACTCCCTCCCCTCACCCACCACCGTCAACCGGTCCACCAGCGGCGGCCTCCCTGGCCTCGCACCCTCGTCGTCGGCAGAGTTCCGCAGCTGCCAGTCGTCACCCCTCAACAGGGGAGGGGACAGTGACGGCCCCACCCCCACAGCTATATTGGCGCAGAACCTGCAGGCCACTGAGGCGGCAGAGAGGGGGAGAGGCGGCAATGGCAGCAGCAGCAACAGCAACAGTACGCCGTTTCGTCTCGGCTCGCTGCTCTTCGGCAGCCACCAGCAGCAGCAGCAGCAGCAGGGTAGGAAGGGCAAGGACGTCAAGCGTCCGATATCGACCGCCATGGCCCCAGCCAGCAGCACCAACACCCGCACCCGGACGAGCACCATCATCAACAACGACCGATTCGCCGCCCCGCACATGCGTTTCGCCGCCAACAACAGCCTCAACATCAGCACGGGCGGCCTGAGTGTGCGGTCGGGTGATGGGGGTGAGGGTGACGAGGGCGACTGGTCCACAGTGGGCGACGACAGCAGTCTGGGCGGCCGCAGCCCACTGCCGCCGATGGACGATGCTGCGTCGGGGAGCTCCAGCAGATGGGGCGCACCAGCCAGGGGGGCGGGGGCAGTGAGGGAAACACGCCTGTGATGATATTATTCCATCCATACATGCACACATTGAGAGAGGGAGGGAGGGAGAGAGGGAGGGAGGGAGGGTTCATCTTCTGGGTGGGTTCGCTTCATACATCTTGCTGGCTGGTTTACAGTGTGTCCACACACACATATATATGTATGTATGTATGCGTATACGTACCGCCAATATGTATACACGTGCACGCGGCCCTCGTGTACACACGTTGGTGTCTGTCTGCCAAATGTGGTTGGTGTTTGATTGGATTGGTTCATCCACGAGGGCGACTGCCTAGCCACATCCATCCATCCATCCATCGAATCGACCAGCTCAGCGAGGCCCTGTCCATCCAGGCCACCTGCAAATGAAGCATGTACAGGGACGATACACGTACGACAGAGGGAGGGAGGGAGGGAGAGAGGGGGAGAGGGAGGCCTGCTTAGACGTGTGTGTATGCCATGTCTGTATGTCTGCAGCATGGATGTGGCCATGGATGTGTGTGTGTGTGTGTATAAGTACAACATTCATCCTTGCAGACAGACAGACAGACAGACAGACGTTCGTGTGTGGGTGCTGCTGCTGCGTGTGACAACTTGCTTTCCTGTCTGCCTTCCTGTGTCGATAGCAGCTGCTCATCTACGCCTGTCCGTCCGTCTGGCCCTCCTCGCGATGCGTGTGTTTTGAAGTCTCGATGCATGTGTATGTGTCTGTCGCGTGCTGCTGCTTTAGTGCGTGTGTGTGCTGTTCGTTTCTGCCTGACACGTGCGGGCTGCCCGACAATTTTGCTGTGCGTGTTGTCTGGCTGCTTGCCTTCGTGTTTGATTGGCTGCTTGGGCGGCTGTGTACATCTATCTGATTAGTCTTTTCTGCCCGTCACGTCGCTGCCTAGTCGTCCTCATTGTGTTGTGTGGGTGGGTGTTGTATGTATCGGCGGCAGAGTGCCGTTGATGACTAGATGTGCATATGCTGGCGCGCCGAATGCGGCGCGGACGTCCGGGTGTACGGAACAGCTTGGTGCGATGATTGCGATCCATTAGTGCTGTCAAAGCTCGCAAATCAGAACCGCTCTCTCTCAGCAGCCTGACTAATGCCGTCAGACAGATCACGGTGCGTGGGCAGTGAATGAATGAACGAGTCACAAGATCTGTGTATTGTCCGCCATCAGATACACGTTTGACGATTTGGGCACCGATGGGGAGATCCACGCCATCATCCCCATCGCCGACCACATCAAGGTCACTGACGCACAGACACAAACAAAGGCACACACACAGAAACACAGAGATCTGTCAATAGTTGCCTGCACATCCTATCTCTGTGATCTCTCTCTGCTGCGGCCGTGCATCAGGCCAAGGACATGGCCATCGACATCCACAGCTCCAGGCTGAAAGTGGCCATCAAGAGCGAGAACACACCTATCATGGTACGGTGCGACAGATGGCAACCACGAACACACGTGTGTGAGTGCAAGCCGTTTGCGAATTAATGACCCCCAGGATGATTCGCTGTGGGCCAAGGTCAATGCCGACGACAGCTACTGGGAGATCGACACTGTCGAGGGAAAGGGTACGTGTCTGCACACGAGCAATGATCAACGCACCGGGTGTGGTGTGGTATGTATGGTGTGTCTGTCTGCGGCGTGCCTGTAGGTCGTGTGGTTCGTGTGGTCCTCAAGAAGGTGCAGGCGTACACCAACTGGGAGTACCTCCTCAAATGCGACGAAGTCCCGCCAGACACCACCGTCACACACAAGGTCAGACATCGGTTCACACACACTTACACACACACACACACGCAGACGCCTTTCTGTCTGTCTGTCTGTCTGCGTGTAGGTGTATTTCGATATATCGCTCGACGACGAGCCGGCCGGGAGGGTACTCATGGGCCTCTACGGCAACCAGTGCCCAAAAACAGGTAGGTATCCACCGATCCATTGCGCCTTCATGTGTCCTGTGCGTGGATTCAGTCGAGAACTTCCGCGCACTGTGTGTGGGCGACCGCACGAGCGAGGACGGCACGCCGCTCAAGTACAAGGGCTCATTCTTCCACAGAATCATCCCCGGCTTCATGTGCCAGGCAACCATACACACATGCACACACGCACACACACACAGACGACACACACGTGCATTTGTGGTGCAGGGCGGCGACTTCACAAAGAATGACGGCACCGGTGGTCTGTCCATCTATGGGGAGAAGTTTGCTGACGAGGACTTCGGCATCAAACACACACACGGGGGCCAATTGTCAATGGCCAACGCAGGACCCAATACCAACGGCAGCCAGGTACGCACCCACACAGACTCACACACGTCGTTTCTCGCCTTGAGTGCCACAAACCAATCTGTCTGTCTGTCTGTCTGTCTGTCTGTGATGTCATTCATTCATGTGTGTGCAGTTCTTCATCACTGTGACGGAGTGTCCCCACCTGGACAAGAAGCATGTCGTCTTCGGGCACGTCATCGACGGATTCGACACCGTCGTCAAACAAATGGAGGCCGTAAGCTGACAGACAGACACACACTGGTCTGGTGCCCCCACTTGCACCAGGGAGTGCACCGTGACATGTGCTGTGTCGACAGTGCGGTGCATCGGACGGGAGCACGAGCAAGAAGGTGGTGATCGCCGACTGTGGTGAGTCTGACGATCACCAAGAGAACTGAATGCAGCCATGGCAGGCAGGCAGGCAGGCAGGCAGGCAGAGAGAGATACATAGAGCGGCCAGGCTGGGCAGCTGTGACGTACCATGTCCAGGGACTCTTGTTTGTCTGTCGTGTGTTTAGGTGAGTTGACTGAGTGAAGTGCGTGCCTTTATAGGGGCTGCCGTGCCGAGTAGCACTTCCATGCGTAATAGTGCATGCGTGACGTAAACCGGCCGACCAACACAGACCCATTCATGCATTCATCATGTGTGAATGTCACTCATCGCACGCAGCAATCCAATCCAGCACGGCCACACACGCACACCAGCCACCCAATATAAGCCATCCATGGCCATCCATCTGTGTGTATGCTCCGTCCGCACAGCCAGCACACGCATCTACCACCGGCCAAACTACCCTTTCAGTGTGCCCCCTCTCCCTCTCCCTCCTTGTTGCCCTCCTTCGCGTCGCTATCGGCCATGACGGCGTCGCCTTCGTCACCACCCTCGTCGGCGGCCTCGCTGTTGGCCTGCCCCAGCAGCTCCTCGAACGCACGACACACCACCGGCAACTCGCCCTTGGCACCATCTGCACCAATATCCATCCGCCCACCCACACATGCCAGGCGTCATCCATCCATTCTCATCAAAATTGTGAACTCACCTGAGAGGTTGACGTTTCCGTCGATGAGGTCGCCGATTTTGATATCCTTGATCTCTGTGGGTAGGATGCCCAGCCAGTGCTGCTTGCGGATGAGAAGGTTGAGCCGCTGGTCCTCGGCCGCCATCCTCAGCCCACGCTCCAACGCCTCGAGCATCATCTCGCCGTACGCACGCTGAATGGGATTGATCGTGGTCTCGTCTGCCGCTGCAGCAGCCATCGGATGGTCTCCTGATGCCGCAGCAGCTGCCATTCGCCCTTCTAAAACTCCTGGCCGTGGCCAGGCTATCGGCGAGGGTGTGCGAGCTGAAGCTGAAGTGTTCTCCTTTGCCAGCTTTCGCGGCGTTTCAGCGATGAATGGCTCATCATCCAACAGCAAGGGCACGGCAGGCATCAGCAGCAAGCAGGCAGACAAGATCTGTCACGGAGCCATGCTGCTGAATGCGGGCGGGTCGGTCATGGCGTTCCCGCGTGATTCGCTGCTTCACGATGAGCTGAAGGGCACCTGCCTGGCTGTGCTTCTTCATCGCTTCGACAGCTGGATGCTCACAGATACTACCGGCATTCACTTCATCGACACAGACCCGTTCTACTTCATCTGGTGCGAGAGAAGCAACATACATGTACACTCCCACTGCCACTGTTCGCTTTGAGACTCTCGTCTGTCTGTCTGTCTGCGTGTCTGTCTGTCTGTCTGTCTGTCTGTCTGTCGTGCTAGGTTGGCTGTCAAGCTTCGTTACCTGAGGGACAACCGCATCGACGTGAGTGAGATCTGTGAGGGCTGCCCCTCTGCATTCGCCTTCTACCACGACCGATTCTTGGCCAAGACGGACCTCACAATCGAGCCGCAGACCGGCGACGACAAGAGTGATGCCTTCCGCGGCTTCATAGCTGAGATGAGGGCCTTCATCGACTCATCAGTGGCGGGCGGGAAGGGCGGGAGTGAGGTGCTGAGCGTGTGTGTGGATGGCTGTGCGGTGGCCACAACCGACGCCACGCTGGACGACTTCACCGCACTCTACAACCGATTCACCAAGTGAGAGAGTTCTGAGGCAGGGAGCCACACTGGGACGATTGTGCGGCCGTCTATGTGTGCAGGCTCACTGGGCCGGTCATCGACGTATCTGCGGACCACCTCCGCAAGTAAGACGACAGACAGCAGGCAGATCTGCCAAGGGATGGATATATGTGTGTTTTGTGTGGTATTGTGCAGGATCGTCGATTACCTTCGTCGCATTCGCATCGCCCCCGACGCCGCCACGCCGCTGCCTACGAGCAGTTCTTTCGACGAGCTGCTTTACGCGTGTGAGATGTACGGCCTCATGGAGCAGGTGTACCTCTCGATGATCGGCAAGTCCCACAGCCACATCAAATGCATCCTCAAGTGAGTCGCAGACCATACACAAACAGCACAGGGGCGGGAGAGATCTGACATGGCATCCCTTCTGTTTTCTGTGTGTGTCATCAGGAGTTCCCATGACGATTGTGAGTTTGAGACGTTGGTGCAGCGGGCAGAGGGTCTGCAAGGTGGCCTGCTGTTCGTCATCGAGTGTGAGCATGAGACCCGCCGCCACCGCTTCGCCTGCCACGTTGACGGCCCCCTCATCGCCCCGTCAGACCCCAAAGCTGAGCTGCGCACCGGCCGCCCCGTCGCCTTCTACTCCATAAGCGGCGCGTTCAAGGAGGGCGATGGTATCGTCATGATCGCCGTGCCACACGACTGGCAAAATGTGGACGTCGCAGGCATACAGGGGGCGGTCAACGACGGCATGGGTGTGCCTCGTGGCAAGGTGGCCATCGGTGGCGGTCGGCTGTAGCTGGGGTGTGCGGAGGATGGGCAGCCGGTGAGCGACCTTCGCCACTGCCAGCAGTGGCTGCGGACGGGCGACCTGCCTGACGGCAAGACGTATCGGGGCAGCTTCGATGGCGACGGACGGACCACGTTGGCCGGCAGCCGTGACTTTACCTCCACACGACTGGAGATCTACCAGGTCAGACACACACATCGATGGCAGGGGGCGCTGAATGCACCTATGGGTCGTTGTCTTTCTGTGTGTACGTGCAGGTGTGGAGCACTCGTCCTGCTGACCCCATCCTCTCAGCCGACGGCCTCCAGGCACTCATCAAAATGACGAGCGACGCCACAATGACCGGAAAGCTGCTCTACAAGTGAGGGAGCCAACGAATAAGTGACAGCGCTGTGATCTCGTCGGTGCATTGTCTGTCTGTCTGTCTGTCTCTCTGTTCGTGTGCCTGTCAGGGGTGAGCGTGACGGCTGGGCGCACAAGACCATGATGGCCAAGGTGGGCAAGGCGGCCGACCTGCTCTTCGTCATCAAGGACATGGGCGGCCACGTCCTCGCCTCCCACCTCAAGAGGCAGCTCAAGCTGCCAGACAACCCCACTGACGTGGAGAGGACCATCAACTGCCCCGTCACCTTCTACTCGATCAGCGGCGCATTCGAGGAGGGAGACGGCATCGTCAAGATCGCCGTGCCCAACAACTGGCAGTGGGTGGTGGTTGCCGGGACGGAGGCGGAGGTCACGAGCAGCCAGGGTGTGCCTCGTGGCAGTGTGTGCATCGGTGGCGGCCGGCTGTGGCTGGGGATTGGGAAGAATGGGCAGCCGGCTGGCGACATGCGGCTCTGCCAGCAGTGGCTGAGGAGGAGTGATCTGCCCGACGGCAAGACGTATCGGGGCGACTTCAATGACGACGGGCAGGCCACGTTGGCGGCCACTCTCAGCTTCACGTGTGCCGATATTGAAATCTACACTCTGCAGGTGAGAGGGGCAAGAGTGAGGGAGGGAAGAAGACGAAGCCACACATGAATGTCTCGATGTGTTCAGGCGTCGGAGGGCAGTGGCTGAATGCGGTGGTGTGACGTCGCGCTCTGCCAGTCGACGTAAGAGCTGTTTAGGGGTGGGGGAGAAGCTGATGGTCGGCAGGGGGGTAAGTGGTCGTCGTGTGTGTGGGAGGATGGGTATGTATGTATTTGACTAGCTCGTGCGGTGCGTGCATTTGACCTCCCTGCTATGTGTATATCAATCGGCAGACAATCGGCCCTTGAGATGATTCTGGCTATCGCAATTGCAAGCTTGGTGCATGAGTCCGCGTATGGGTGACCTGACAAGGGTTTGCGTCATCATTGCTTGTCTGCCTTGCCTGCCTGCGTGCTGTAGACTTCATTGAGCGGGAAGGAACACACACATTCGTCCCGGCTGTGTCCGTGCGTCCGTGTGTGCACGAGGTGTCGGTCCATGTTGTACATGCATGTATGGATACGGATGGCGCTCCGATTCGCGCTTCTCGTGTGATGATGGTTTAGATCTCCCCCTCCCTCCCTGTCTCTCTGTCTGCCTCTCTGTCTGTCCATCTTCATCTCCATCTGTCTCTGGCTGTGTATACATACGCTCCTTGTCCATCTCCCTCCCTCCCTCCCTGCCTCCCTCTTCATGGCGGATACATGCGCATTTTATGCTGCCTGGATGGACTTGCCGTGCATCGCCCATCAAGGCACTCCATGGATGGCATCGCATCAGTCGGCATGAACAGGCAAGTCAGTCAGTCAGTCAGTCAGTCAGTCGTACCCGCGCCCGAGACGGGACGTCATGATGCAATAGCAAGCGCCAGACATCGACACCAGGGTGCCATAGGGAATTCTGGCCAACTCGGCATCATCATGGTGCCTTGTCGTGTCCCGCATACGCTCGCCGGGTGACATGTCCGAGTGGTCTAAGGAGCCAGACTCAAGTTCTGGTAGACCTAGTCTGCGTGAGTTCGAACCTCACTGTCACCATGCTCAAACACCTAGGGTTAGGGTTTATAGGGTGTAGGGTTTTGGTGAGTTGGGGAGAGGAACCTCCGGCCGTATCGTTTTCCCAGGTGCTGTTGATCCCGTGCAGCTTCACTGCATCGCCGCACGTGCCATCATTGATTGACTCACTGACAGTCACTCACATCGGTGAGCGAAGGACATGATGCATGGCCATCGCGTGACAATTTTGTTATGCAGGCTTGGTTGGCTTCCTGAGCTGCCATCGCCTCTCATTGCCAGCGGCATCAAAACCGTTGAGTCATCAGCACAGGTGAGGAAGCAACACAAAGCAAACGAATGAACACACCAGTCTGGCACCGTCTGCATCTTATTGCCTGTTTGCCGTTGGTCCAGATCACTCACTCACCCATGGCGTCCGAGTCGGTACCCTCCCTGTGGTCCATAGCACTCAAGAAGACAGCACACATGCTCGATGACACCGCCAAGCGGCCGACACTCCTCACCCGTATCGAAAGGCAGCCGCCCACAGAGATCCCCAGGGGCATCACTCTACCGACCGTCCTGGGACAGCGGATCGAGAAGGCCATGGACCGCGACGACCTTCGTGGCGTTCTGGTCCTTGATATTTCTGACGTGGCCGGGGCCATCAAGACCGTCCACGTGCTGGAGAGATGCAGCGGCCACTGGCAGATGATGAAGACGTTCCTTCGGCTGGCCGCCGTCCATCGGCTGACCCCCGCCAACGCCACACCGCCCCTGCGGCTCTCGGCTGAGTCGCTGCCCGCCACGACGGCATTCGATCAGATGCCCCTCGCTATGGCTTTATACGCGACAATCGGACAGCAGCTGACACACAGAGGGACCAGCCTGGCGCTGCAGCAAGTCGACGACGGACACTTCTGGATCGGCGATTTGCCGTTTCGTGTGGTGCCGTTGGGTAGGCTGCCGGGCGGCCATCCCTACACTAAGGGCTACACAAAGACCGACCCCCCCATATATCTACGATACAATTTCGGATGCACCAGAGACCTCTTCCCCTCATTCTCGACATTCCTGATAGCCATGCTGCTCCGCATGTGGTACCGTGCACGGGGTGTGGGTTACAGGATGGTGCTGGGTGCAGGCATCGGCCGTGACGACCCTCGTTATCGCCGTCTGATTACCGAGCGCATCACAGAGGATTTGGGCATCGCTGTCGACTGGCGCTACGATGGGGGCGATCTGAATGCTGCCACCCAAGTCAGTGACCATCGTCGTGTGATTGTGAGCGGCTTCCGACTCAACGAGACCATCGCTGCCCATCTGCGGGTGGTGCGAGGCGTCATCGAGCTGTGGACGACCGAGCGACCTGCTGCCAGTCGATCTCATCCGCTCGCTGTGCGCTACCCCGTGTCGATGCCCCTGTGGGGTGCTGTGCTGCGGCGATTTGGTCTCGAACACGATGTCATTAATGGGGGGAGGGTGGCGGGGGGTCCATCAATTGGGAGCACGCTGTCGGGATGAGGGTGCTAGATCGAGGTGATGGGTCGGCATTGGTTTGTCTGTCTGACGTGTTCGCTCTCCCGTTTCTTCTCAGTCGTCTTGTTGATCTGACTGCCTGCGTGTGTCTGTCGCATGAATGGATGGATGGATCATGACCGATGCCAGATATCATCACTTGCTACAAATAGACGTTTATATGTAAGGTTCACCCGCGGCCTTAATTGTCTGTCGTGGCACCGGCCATATTAATCCAACCATGCAGCACGCCCTAGCACCCAACGAAGCAACCACAATCAACAACAACGTCATCAGATCGACACATACATACACCACACACAGAGAGAGGCGCGGTAGGTAGCTGGATGGATGGATGGAGACATCAAGCACACACACACACAGATGTCTGAATTACACACACACACACATACACACACATCATGGACACACACGTCACCCCGATGACGACAGGAGAATCTCCGCGCACTTCTTGGCCGCCAACTGCATATTCACACACACACACACACACACACACATGGAGGACTCACGGCCAGCCGTATTCATGCGCTCGTGTGTGTGTGTGTACCATGTCTTGTTCGATGGAGGTGTATATCGACTTGGATGTCGGGATCCACACAGTCTCCTGACACACAGATGACATGCATCCGCAACACACACGTGCATTCGTCATGAGGCCGTTCTCTCTCGTCGCCCACCTGCTGCAGCGCATGCAGCGTCTTCTTGCTCTGGGCCGACTCTGAGCACACAACCACAGCCACACATGTGCACACAGTCAATCACCGCATTTAAATCTGCTGTGTGCCAGCGGCCGGCCAGCCGACCGTATCGCTTCACGTGTGCCAGGCACTGGACGGCCGCAACAGACAACAGCTGCACACACACACACACACACACACACAAGAGGAATGGAATGGATTGATGTGCGAAGTGAATGAGTACGTGCACACACACCTGGTCTGCCTTTTCTCTGTACTGGACCAAAGCCTCGCCAGCAAGATCCTGCACACACAAACACACACAGAGGGAGAGATGGAAACAATCTCGTGTGCGCGACCGACAAGCCACGAACGGACCTGTGTGTGTCCCAGCATGTGTGTGATGCATTTGGCCGTGTGTGGCGCGATGATCGAGGAGAGAGGCCATGATGGCGCCGTGGTGCTGGTGCCGTTGCTCTCAACCACAAAGAGAGACGGCCGCAGCACCTGCACACACACCACAGCATCAGCACAGCACAGCACAGCACACGAGTGTGTAAATCCCAATGACGGGCACACAGGTGTCCTGTACTTGGCTTTTTTTGCAGTGGTGTGGCGGGCCACTCAGCGCATCTGCACACACATTAGTGGATGCAGTCATGAGCGCATTCGACCCGTTCTCAGACGCACTAACCGTCGTATTGGCTCTCCAGGTCAGAGAAATCCAACACTGCACACACACAGCCATCCATGCACCATTACACACGCGTGTGTGTGTGTGTGTGTGTGTAGCTACCGATGCTGGCTGACGGGTTGTCGTCTATCGCAATCCCGCGATACGCTAACAGACGTAGATTCGACGTCCCTGCACACACAGGGGGTTCTTCCTCTCTCAGTGCGTGTGCAGCGTGTGCGCTGGAGAGATACTCACTCTCCTCACCTCCGTGTGTGTCCCATCTTGGTGGGGGAATGCGTATGAGGGTGTCGTGGTCCATCGCACGAGACGACATCAATGCACACCCTGCACGGGTGGCTGTCGGGGACTGACACACACACACACACACACACACACAGAGAGAGAGAGAGAGAGGATGTGACACACACACACACAGAGAGAGAGAGGAAGATTCACATACGTGTCTGTGTGTGTGTGTGTGTGTGTCTGTTGTGCTCACAATGGTGATGTTGCCGCACTCGACACGCGCGTTGATCATCTCAGACCTGCACACACACAACACAGGACAGGCAGACAGAGAAAGTGTGTGCTGATGTGCACAAGCACACGGCCGCACAGGCGTACGTCCGTACATATATTCGTATCGTCTCGGAAACGACACCAGATCCATCAAAGGCACCAACACCTGCATGAGCACACACACACACATATGACGGGGTGTATGCTCTGTGCACCGTCCGTCCCTATCACTACCTTCTCTGTGCTGTCGCCACTCTCGAGAGAGCGCAGCAGCACCAATGACACGGCCGCACGGATGTCCTGTCAATGCACACACACACACACACACACACAGAGAGAGAGAGAGAGATGAAGGGATCATGCC